CCAAGTGTTCACATAGTGCAGTTTTGATTTATTAACTATGCTGTATTTATTATATAAAGGCATGGAATAAAATGTAATAATAATATACGTCATTATAATAGTGGTTGTTACATGATTTTGGGGAATGCGAAAGAGAATCTGCTTAAATGCATGTAAAATTTTAATTTTTGCACTCAATATAATTATGTGGGTTGCAAATTTCGAATGTTCATTACGTCATACATGCACTGAGGTTTTCATCATCTCAACCCCTTAACAGCATACAATTCATCTAATTCTTGAAAAATATTCAATGACTAAATTAAATTACATGAAAGTTTATACCTGTATGAAATCCGGGAAATGGAGGGGGCTAAGTATCTCAATTTTGACTCATCTTCACGTACCTAAATTAATTCTTTCTTCCTGTTCAACTATATCTACTTTTGGTTTCGGAATTACATTGTAATTAGTTATCAGTTAGTTGATCAATAGTCAGTTAGGATTTAGAGCTGATGAGGGAATCCGTACACCTACCCCTGGGATTTTCAGTCTTAAGCTTTATAGAGTCAAATAACCTTCCCCCCAACCCCATAAGGAGAGGAAACGCAGAGCTTTCGGAATTCATAAAATGTACATGCATTTACAAGAAGGAAAGGGGTCTGTCAGTGTAACCCCTTTTCTAGTTAATTTTGTATCATTCATTTGATTTATGCCCAATTCTTTTTAGATGCATGTATAATATTCCTCTAGTCCCTTACAAAGTCTTGTATGATGTTTCCTTTTTTATTACATGTGCACTGCATGCATCGCTTGATATTGGAAAAAAAACATCTAGTTCAGAACATTAATAAAAGTGTTAAAGTTCTGCCGACAATTAATATTTCGTAGTAAATAAGGAAATTCTAAATACTAAATTTGGAGATTTTTCAAATTGTTCCGCTCATATCTCAGTCCTTGTCCCAGTTTATATCAAATCAATGTAATTAAGAATAGTTTGATTAATATTAAGATTTGGGTTGTTAAGCGCAACATCTTGTAATTTTTGCTAACCAATGCAAAGTAACATGCACCGCATGCACCAATCACCTTTGCCTAGTGAGTACTGAATCTATAAGTATTAGTATGCTGCCACGGTTGTTAAATTCCTGTTAAAGTACATCATTGAAAGAGTTAGCAAGATTCCAGTTCCCCAAGGCCAGGACTATTTCCCGAGGCGAAGCCGAGGGAAATAGTCCTGGTCGAGGGGAACTGGATCTTGCTAACTCCCTCAATGATACACTTTTAACTGTTTTATTATACCGATACAAACGTAAAATTTAGAGGATTCGGATGGTGTGATTTCAAAGCAGGGATTAGCTCACTGAACTAACACACGGGGATTAGTCCATTCACATATCATACCAATGTAAAAGTAAAATCATTTCGGATAACCGGGAATTAGCTTTCGAAGGAGGGATTAGCTCATTTGACTAACGCGCGGGGATTAGTCCATTCATAACGATTTCCAGGGAATTAGTCACATCTAATGATCTAATGTTATATAGGGAAAAATCAGTAGAGGTATAACAAAATAAAACGTTTGAGATGTTATTTTTTAATTTAATTGCACAACATGAGCAATAATGTATGATAATTATAATAGACTTTTGACATTACTCAGTGAGTTTTCCTTTGAAGTAACATACAATAACTGCGATACAAACACTTCGTGGTCGTTTCATTTTGTAAATGAGCAGAAACTGTACAATAACTACAAAATATTAACAATACAGAACTGTTTAATTTTAGCTATGATGGAAAGCTGTATGAATCATTCAAATTACATGACAGCGCTGTTACGTATTTACTCAAAATTTTAGATGAATTTAGGATAGAAGTGAACAGCGGCGGATCCAAAATTTTAGAAAGGAAGGAGGAGGAGCAGTTCACGGATAGTTTTTCTTTGACAAAATAAAGAAAAGAAAAAAAATTGTCCAAACTCTAAAATCGTATTTCCTGGGTTAGGGATACTAGCTCATCATTAGTCCTGAAACTATGTGCCTGGTCGTTACATGTGGATAAATTAAAAGTGTATACAAGTTAAGCAAACACAATTTACGAAAGCCAAAAAGAAAAAAAAAACCTCAAAGTTGGGGGGGGGGGGGGTTGATGCCCGACGCGCGCCAGTATGTGCTGGATCCGCCTTTGGCTACTTCTTTACTCTTCCTCCCTCCTCTTTCATCAGATTCTGTTTGTTTTAGTTTTGAGCCAGGAATACTGTACATGTATCTGACGACCGGTGGATAACATTTCTCTTAGAATTCAATCTGCCAGAAACATTTTTGCTTGATACTATTAAAGAGTTTTGACTGTACACATTAAAAAAATTCTTTGCTTGATTATAGCATAATCTAGAGGAGTTTTGAAAAAAAAAACTTAAACAAGGTTTTGATAAAATGCATTCTTAATTTCTGTTTACCATTTGTCATTTTTCCTCATTCTTTCTTCATATATGCACTCAATATACAGTCACATGATTTTTTTGAGTTTAAGCTAAAATTTCAGTTTCCTTGAAGGAGGCGTTCTGTCTAATTTTATGAGGTACATGATTTCACACCTACATGTAGGGCTTTCTTCCAAAAGTATGTATCTATTTTTTTCACCTTCTTTGGCATATTTTATAAATATGCATCCTTGCTTGCACTTATTCACATGGTTTATTTGTCAATCTTTGGAATTTTTTAAAAGTTAATGTAGCATATGCACTCAGAATAGCACATAGCACCTGCATGGAATTAGCATCTAGCACCTGCATGGAAATATCTCTTATATGTACATGTAGCACCTGCATGAATGAACGTAATTTTGAATATTGACGCCCACATTGCCAACACATTCATGTACATGTATAGTTCTGTCCTGTGATTTACAGTTTTCTATATCATTTGTCTACTAAATTATATATACATATATTAATTTCAGAACATATTTACTGAAACCTTGTTCTTTTTTTCAATGAAGAATGTTCTTTTGAAAAAAAAAACTAAGATTAGAATAATAGTATATTTACTGAAAAATTGAAGAGGGGGGCTAATTTGAAAGGGGGCTAAACCAACCCCCACCCCCCAAAAAAACGTTTGGGGACTATGCCCCAATTTTCAAAGCCTATATTATGTTTATCTTTGAAAAAATAAGTTTGGGAGGCTGCCCCCTCTAGCCCTTCCTCCCGTTCCGACGCCTGTTAAAAGTTTATTACGCATCGCTTCTTATCATCAATATTTCACATTATCAATTTCTATAATGTAATATTAAGAAAGACTTTTTTTGGGGTGGGGTGGGAGTTAAATTTTATTTATTTCTTTCCTTGGTGTTTTTTTTTTAATTTATTTATCTATAATTTATTCATTTTGAGGGAAAGTTCATCCTACGTTAAAAGATGGAACAAAAATTCTTAAAAAACACGGGGCCAAAGTATACGTGTAGTTTGAGTAAAAAAAAATCAATCCATGTCACTTTTGATAACTAGTAATTAATAAATCCGATATGGTTTCAGTTTTACATGATTTCTCGTAATTATGCGTAGAAAGGTTTGTAATCTATATAGAAAATGAGGAAATATAACGCATTAAATTATATGACAATTCTACATTATAAATACATTTAAGTATGGAAACCTATGTTATTGTTATACAGTACTTTTTGTAATGACAAAATGTACTGCCATAGGGGGTTGTGTTTGGACTTTTGTTGCGAGGATAAACATGGCAGTGCATGTCCATAAAAGATTTATATTTTCTTTTCAAAGATTTGCTTTTGTATTATGAAATGCATGTAATGAATTATAATATCTAATAATATCTATTTTCATGAATGTAAATAAAGGAAGAAAAAGAACACTATGGAAACCTAGCTCTTTATATCTGTTCTATAATGCTTTTTGTTGGGCCAAATGCCATTAAAATCATCAGCCTTTGTAAGTTCACTTATTATTAAAGTAGTACTATCAAGGGTGTTGAAGTTCTTTTATTATTTTCCTTAATCGGCAAAAATTATGAAAAATATAAAACAAAAGACGAAAAACTAAATTTTAGGTGGAGAGAAAATTGACTTGAGGGGTAGTCACACTTTATAGCTTTTAAGCTGTGTATGATCTCTCGTAAATATTGGTTTTCTTTAGGAGAAATCCTTCTCTAGATCCAGTTTTTCCGGGGGACTCCCCCTCTAGAACCATTTTCCCGGGAAATACTTGAGGGGGGGGGGGGTCAACCGTACTAAGTTGGTACTTTTGCTGGTTGGAACAATGTTGAGGTCTACATGAATATTTTATGTGTTTGAAGGGTCGAAGAAGGTCTTGATTAAAACTATGTAAATTAAGATTTATGTCCGACGCTATCCCCCCCCCCCCCCCCGCCTGTGTATGACGAATGATGACCCTTATTGTCAACACACATGGCGCACGTTCTTATAGCGCACCGTAAGAATGATTGAAAACAAGAAATGTGTTTCCTAACTTTGTTTACATCTCTTTTGTGGGGGATAAGCAAAACGTCCTCTATCGGATAACACATCGTCCTCTCAAGCTTAACACAGCGTCCTCGCAAGGTTAACACACCGTCCTCGCGCGGTTAACACACCGTCCTCGCAAGGTTAACACACCGTCCTCTCACGGCTAACACACCGTCCTCGCAAGGTTAACACACCGTCCTCTCACGGCTAACACACCGTCCTCGCAAGGTTAACACACCGTCCTCTCACGTTAACACAACGTCCTCTTACGTTAACACAACGTCCTCTAAAGCATAGTGAAAAAATCATGCTTTAATTTTCAAATTACAACATAATGCAACCCCCCATCGTGTAACTAGTGCCAAACCTTATAAATATACCAAATCTTGAAAAAATATCTCAATTAGAAAGTATGGTCCTCGGAGGAAGGTGGAGTGTCATAGTCCTCGAAAGGTCGGTGATGCATGTGAGGGTGTGTGTGTGTGTGTGTGTGTGTGTGTGTGTGAGGGTGTGTGTGTGTGTGAAATTAGTGTTTTGTGCCTACCTGCCTGTACCACTTTATCCACTGGTTTACCCGCAACATGAGCCATGTAACCAACAATGGTGAAAATGGCAAAACCTCCAAATATACTTGTTCCTTCGCTTATCATAGATAATATGATTGAATCTCTGTCATATAAAATTAATTTTAAATAATGTGCTTTTGAAATAGATGATAATTTGCTAATGAATAAGATGTATCTCCTTAAAAATTATGTCTACGTACAATTAGTTATAGTTCTATTTACCTGTAGCAGTTATTGTTGAATTTATTGAAGCTAGCCATGGTAAAGAGAGGTCCCCATGCGGGTCCTAGAGAATAGAAGACTTGAATTCCTGCTTCTAACCATACCTATGAAAACAAAATAATTCTCACTTTATTGAATATACATTTGTTGTCTATAAAAAGGTACAGGAATTATTCAAACGTAGGAGAAATACTTACTCAATATATATAATTTAGATATATGAACTGTCATAAAACTAAATCAAAACATATTCAAATTCGAGTGCATTTTAAACAATTGAAATACTCTATAAATTATGATTAATTAGATTTAAATTCATTTTGTTATATCATATATATAAGAAAGATAAAATAAATTTAATCAATCATGATGTATTGAGTATTTCAATTGTTTAAAATGCACTCAAATTTGAATATGTTTTGATTTAGTTTTAAGACAGTTCATATATCTAAATTATAATTCTATACCTTCATTCAAGGGAATATTAATCCAGTTTTATGATATTTTTTTTTACTGTATACTTACTTGAACACTGGCAAGTTTATCAAAGTCTGGTCTGATGTAGAAAAGGATGCCATCAGTTGATCCAGGAAGCGTCAGGCCCTTGATAAGAATGACGATCAGTAACAAATAGGGAAGGGTCGCTGTGATGTAAACAACCTATAATAAGTTTTTTTCATTATTTATTTAAAAAATGTTAGCTATCAACCCGTAGGGTGTATTTTCTTTCCAGTAAAATATTGTAGTGAGAGGGGATTAAAGATTACAATGAAAAAAAATTCTTTTGTTATATGTTTCGAAGTACATAATTATCGCGTACCTTCCCAACAGATTTCAGTCCTTTGATCAGACATATGCAAACCACGATCCATGCTACGAGAAAGCAGATTGTTAGGCGCCAGTTTAATCCTCCAATATCGTGGAGTCCCTCTGACATACGAAGAACACGATAACTGTATAAGAAATTTTAAATTAGTTAAATTATTTGATTCATTCTATTGCATAGTTACCATTGTATGTTTTTCCTAAATATATGACGATTCTTCAAGTAAACAGCTATTCGATGCTTTATGGATCTTAATATAATTTTATTAAGTAACACTTGGTAGTAGTATATTGTTTTATATATTTTATTTACCCCTAGTAAATTAATCACTTTTTTCTACACACTTTGTTCTTATAGAATACTTGCAGAGATATAAGATAAATGCGGTTTCATTGTTCTTTAAAGATGAAATATGTGGAGAAAACGAACAGTATTCGAGCTCAAATGTCCATTAAACATTACAAAATAGGAGCAGAGCAAACACGGACCTCTAAGACATCAGAGGTGGGATCAGGTGCCATGGAGGAGTGAGCATCCCCTGCCGACCGGTCACACCCGCCGTGTGCTCCTTGTCATGATCGGAAAATAACGGAAAAAATCCGTCGAAAATTCAGTGTATAAATAATGACCTAACAATTAGTATGAAAAACGTCAGTCAGCATTTGACTTACTGAAAGATTGTATTTGCTGACAAGGTCATTGTATCGACCATAGAACTTAACAAATGACGACTATAAACGAGTCTGCTGACATTCTTGTTTCATCAACTTGTTTGTCAATAACTTACCTCGTTTTAGAAATCGTTCATACGTAGAGCATGCTCTGGCGTATCGAATCAACTGAGAGATATAAACCCCGTATGCAGGTGATAAGGGTATATTGCTGCATAAGTTAGGGAAGTTGACGATTGAAAAGTTAAACTCATCCCGTTTATCATAAAGCTTTGTTGTAAGATTACCATTAACGTCTTTTTCTGATAAAATATCAAAATATAAAACAGATGTGTCAGACTCTGTGGTATCTTTTATCTCAAGCTCAACGGGATATATCGTGTCGACATAAGAATGGAAATAACTCCTGTTAATTGACAATACGTCGTCGATATATCTAAATGTCGAGTTGAAGGCCACAGCATGTGTTTTATTCTTTTCATGTAAAAGATTTTGAATAAATTCTGCTTCATAAGAATACAAAAATAGGTCTGCTAATAACGGGAGTAATTGGTACCCACGGGGATTCCAATAGATTGTTGGAAGACCTGGTCTCCAAAAACCACATAGATATTGTCAATCAGAGACTCGAGCATCTTTTTAATGTCAACTTCAGAGTACTTGTGTGTACAATCAGATTGCTTTTTAACAAAGCAATTTTGCAAATGACCAATGACAAGGTAAGTAAATTTACGAGTTCCATTTTTGTTGAAAAAGCAGTTGTCAACGATGTCAGAAAGTCTGGACTTTAATTCTTTGTGGGGAATAGTTGTATATAAAGTTAAAAAATGTAAGTTTTTATGTTGTTGATTTTGGTAAAATTTTGTGGTTTCAAATGTTCCAAAAGTTCATTGGAATTTTTTAATATCCACATCTGATTTACACCACTTCTCGAATATATTGTTGCACAGTACTCTTGAAGTTTCTCCTTCACTACTGTTAATATCTTAGTGAGGAGTAAAATTTGTTATAGATCAAGTGAAAGAAATCAAAAGAAAGTTTGGTGAACATATGTTTCTCATAAATGTAAGCGTTGTTTTTATAAAGTATAATGCTTTAAATTATTGAATACCGGTATTTACCTTTACATAGTGAATTCAAAATATGCAACAAGATAAAAATTGTACTTTTTTATTTGAATATTCTCATGTTTCAATTTATCCGTAATCTAAGCAGATATCGATACATAAAATTAGATTTTTAAAACTGAATTTAATAAATTTAACATAATCACTCACAACCAAAATTCCTCTTCACTTGTTGATCTAAGTATAGTTTCTTTTGTTATGTTCTCTACAAGGGAGGCAGCTCCGTTGTAGTGATACATTTTTGAATAAGTTTTTGACAAGTTAGATGTGTTATACGACTCTTTTGTTGATCCATTAGCATCATGCTGAGAAGACATGTTTGAAATGCCATGGAAACATTCTAGAGTATTCCAATCATTTTCACAGACTGCCCATGGAAGAGGCGAGAAAAAGGAACTTCCGAGATAGAAGATGGTCCAGGTGATGATGACATTGTAGTACAGTGTGATTACAAAGAGAACAATGAACATCCCCACTCCAAGACCTTGGTAAATAACAATCTGTCATGAGTATACCAGTATTTTTATCAATTCGACACTAAAAGTCCTATGCTTTATTCGTTAATATGTATTTGTCGATCAAATTTATGCTATAAGTAAGGGTTTATTTTATTGTGATAAAAATAGAAAAGGAATCTTTTACCTTCGAAAAAAGGACAGGCCTTCCAGACATGAAAAAACTTCTCCCTGTAAATTGTCCAACAGAGCTTTCCAGAAGAAATAATGGAAGACCAGCAGCGAGGAGGAAAAATATAAATGGGATCAGAAAAGCACCTACAATAGTGGATAGTTTTAATACAATTCAGGATAATTTTTTCTACAATATATACATAAATAAGTATAGATATCTGTAAAACCATGTTATCCCTATACATCAATGTTTCTAAATAGCATTATCCATCTGAGAAAAAAAAATAACACTCCGAACATCCGTTATATACTTTTATGCATGCATTGTTTGAGAAGCGGTGGCGGATAGGAACATCTAATTTTAATTAGATTGACCAAAAGTGTATTCAAAGTTTGAGGTGAGAAACTCTTTAGCTAAAAAATCTTCAGTAAGATAACAATCGTTTTTCTAACTTACCTCCTCCATTTCTCATACAAAGATACGGAAATCTCCAGATGTTACCGAGTCCAACACAAAAACCCACCATAGAAAGCATATAGTCTAACTTTGCTCCCCATCTTCCCCTCTTGTTTTCTAATTGAGCTCTCTCAGTATTTGATAATTTGTCCACATCGTCCAAGTTACTGTCTTGATTCATCTCCATTATCTGAAATATAGATTATATTTTATCATTTTTGAACATTGATAGATATATCTGAAAGATTTAATTATCTACATATATATATTCCATTTCATGAGTAACATTTTAATCGCTTATCTACAGTTTTTTTATGTAAAGGCCATTCTATTTTTACGACAAATCTATTCCTATATCCCTTCTTTCAATAAACATTATGTTTTTGTGTAATGTAAGCGTCTTTATTTTGACAAATAAAGGACCAGAGCCAATCAAGCTATGTGTATTTGTTAAATCAGGTACTAGTATGTGTAAATGTGCAAACTTTTTTCCCGTTATTTCCCAATCATGACAAGGAACACACGGCGGGTGTGACCGGTCGGCAGGGGATGCTCACTCAATCATGGCACCTTATCCCACCTCTGATGTTTTTAGAAGTCTGTGATTGTGCTGCTGTTATAATGGACTTTGAGCTTGAATACTGTTTGTTATCTCCATATTTCATTTAGCCATCTTAAAAAAAATTACATTTTGCGTGCTAACTGACGTCCCTTTTGTAATAAGGGTGTCCTCCAAACACCCACAGTTTATTGTTTTCATATTAATGAGCATCATTTTAATCAGGCAAATCAGCATTTTAAAACTGGCCAGAAATTGAAACATGATTTACACTGATTTTTTTTAAAAAATTTAATTTTATAAGTTTCAAGATATTTCCCCCATCCATTCAGTCTAACTGTCAGTGCACAAACTAAATAAAACCGGATGTAAAAGTTTTTTTTTTCCTCGGTACACGTCACAAGTCAGCGGGTGTGAAATACCCTTAAACATGAAATTCTGATGAATGCAGCACAAAATTCCTTCATTTCTTTATGTGTTCTCAAAGTGTTCTCAAATTTTATTTTTACAAGCACGATATGTATTTCTAATAATTTTTCTCGTTACATTTCTTTATATTTTCATGATCAGAGTTATTTGGGAAATGGCAATCATTTATTGTACAACCGAACATGTTCTTTAGAAAACAGAGGCATTGAAATTTCAGTGTGTTTTAATGACGTCAAATATGTCATTTTCAAAGACCCAGATTTTTAAAAGATGTAAAATTGTTTCTTTTCTTCCTTAGAATAATGCTTTATTTTTTTTTTTAAATACCTTGTATTTTGTTCTAGAAAACAAAATCTCTCACTATAAACTGTATAAATAAAAAAAGGTGAGGGTCTCGAACAGTGATCGATCTAAAAAAAAACCCCTACAAACAATTCAAATCTGTGAACACGGCATAAAACACGGACCACTGGAAATTCCAGAGGTGCGATCAGGTGTCGAAGAGGAGTATGCATCCCCTGTCAACCGGTCACATCCATCGTAAGTCCTATGCATTGATGAGGTAGATGGAATATTCAAAATTTTATTCAAATTTAAAATAAAACAAGGACCTAACAATTGGTATATTGCACATATGAAATATGTCAGTCAAAATACGACCCAAAGGAAGCTTATATTTGCTAACAATGTCATTAAATTTACAAAATACTGATATTACACGAGGTTGTTGAAATCCCTGTAACATCAATTTATCTGTCAGTAACCTGCCTCTAATTAAAAATTGATCTTGTACTTAGAGCATGCCTTTGAGTATCGAATAAGTTGGAAGACATTAACACCATATGAGGGAGATAGCAGAATATTACTACATAAATAAGGAAAGTTGACCATGGAAAAGCTGGAGTCATCTCGTTTGTCATACAATAAAGTTGTCAGTTGGCCCTTATCGTCTAAAAGTCAGAAAACATTCAGTTATGAAACATATGTTGTGGCCTCTGTAGTTTCTTTTACTCCGAATTCACTGAGATATATTGATTCGACATACGAATGAAAATAACTATTGTTAATTGATAAAATGTCGATATGTCGAGTTGAAGACCAAAGCAAGTGTTTCTACTCAGAAATGTTTTATGAAATCTACTTCATAGGAATATATAAAAGGTCGGCTAATAAACGATAAACAATTAGTGCCGATCAGAAATGTTATGCGATTTTAAATTATCTAAAATTCTTTGGAATTTTTGAGAATCCAAATTTGCTTTACACCACTTTTAGAATATGCGTCAGCACAGTACGTCTGAAGTTTCTCCTTTACAGAAGTTAAAATGTTTGTGAGGAGTAAGGATAGGAGCTTTGAATAGCATTATCTAGACCTGGCAATGTATCTTTCTAAGGATTTTTAAGAAGTTTGGGAATCCACTATAGGTAGGGTAGAGCGACCTCACCTTCGTTGACTGGAATGTTAAAAGTATTAAAGACTGAAATTTGATTTTTGAGAATTTCATCATTAGAAAGTGAGCTATAAGTAAAGGTTGGATAAGTATAAGATGATAAGCCGCCACATTGGAAAGGAGAGTACTTCCCATATAAGAAAAGACTATAACCAGTAATTTGGCGTACAGACCAGAGTATAAGCTCCATACAACATGCATGAAATGGCATTTTTAACATTCTTAGATATATCAATATTTTTTTAAAAATCAAATGCAAAATTATATTGATAAAAGGAAAATGAGATACAAAATACATATAATCTTCAAAATGTGGCAAATCACAATCACACGGAAATTTTCTTTATCATTTATTTTGGCGATTAAAGGCAAATAACAAATCCACAAGGGTTAACAATCATAATACCACATTGGCTAAGATAGTCAGAATGTTTTCTGAAATATTTTCAAAAGTAATCAATCTATTTCAATCTTTTTCTATATCTAATCGCCGCTCACTGTAGCTCAGTCGGTAGAGCGCTCGTTCCGTGATCGGAAGGTCGTCAGTTCGCATCTCGGCCACGACTGACCTAAGTCGAAACAAGAAAGGTAGCAACTGTTCCTTCGCCAAGCGCTCGGTACTTTGACGTAAGAGTTGCGGGTTCTTCGGATGAGACCTTAAAATTCGAGGCCCCGTGTCACGGCAGGCGTTGACACGATAAAGATCCCTCACTGCTCAATGGCCCTGAGTGCCGAGTAAAGGTCTAAATTTGAAGTCCTTCGCCGGTATATATGAGTTATTGGCAAACACTGAACGCTTTGAGAACGATGATAACGAGCGGCTGGGGAACGATGAACGCAAAACTGAACGATGAGCTCACGGTAATCGCATGCTGAACAAACTAGGAGCGAACGGCAAATGGGTACTTAGAACTAGGATTGTAGTTATTAAATGTAAACTTAATTAAGAGATGATCATATTTTATCGCCTTTAGCAATGCTTCTTGTTCACTTCTTTTCAATTGATTAATCATATAAAAGCATATAGAAGCTTGCTTGGCTCCAGGTGTGCATTTGCGATTGTGCTCCTCAGTTGATGATGAAGATAACAAAAGAATTTAAGAGCGTTATTTTTTGTATGTTTACAATATAAGAAGAATTATGAAAGATTATCAAATCATTGTTTGTTTGTTTGTTTGTTTGTTTTGTTTTTTTTTTTTTTTTTTTTTTTGTTTTTTTTTTTTTCCAATTTTAATTTTGGCTGGTATAATCTTTAGAAACATTTGAACACCTCTATAGCAGTCCAAAACGTTTTCAAATGCCCAAGATCCTTTTCAACATAATCAGTTGAATGTGAATCTAATACTGATTTTACATTATTTTTTTAAAGAGATTTCAAGTATACTCTATTGAAAAATAAATTCGTGTATTATTGTATCATACAGGCCTCAAAATTTTTTGCAGAGGGCAGATTCAAATTTCCGTATAACGATTACTATAAAATCGACAAATTAAACATACATTTCTATTATCAAAAGACATTTATCAACAGACATGCAACTTATCAACTGAATCACTGAAGTATCAGAGAATGGCTATAGTTTACCTTCCATACAGTTTCAACTGCCCAATGACATATAACACACAGGTAAGTAGATGAACTATGGGAAGAAAGGACACGATACAATCGATACTCCAAGCATAAACGAAATAAGTATGACAAAAGGTATAAGGAACAACGATTGACAAGCTGGACGTGTAAATTGATAATACTACTAACATTTAGTAAGAGGATACAGATGTTTTGTAATTGTATGTAATCTACATCGTGCTTATTAAGAAAATTAACAATGAAATAAAGTGTATTTCTTTTCTATACTTGCACACATAATTTTTGCATCTGAATGTCAACTTATATAACAGAGTCAGCTGAATACAATGTGCAAGCAAAAAAAAAAAAAAGAAAAAAGAAAAAAAAAGAAAAGAAAAGAAAAAACACCATTCACCGGGTTGGGGGCTATCTTACCATAATAACACATTTCCTTAGTTAAATTGATAGATGTCTTCCAATCAGCATTTCAATGTCGTCACGTGACAAGCTCTTTGCCGCTAAAAACATTCTATGCATTTAAATTCATATATGCAGTAAATCTATTAAGTTTGAATTGCCAAGTAAAGGCATAAATTATATTGGAACCCAGAAATGAATCTCCAAATCTCAATACATGTATTTTTTTCCTATATCGACTGAAACCTTTCTTCGTTTTCAAAATCATTGTGTAATAACATTTTTAAAATAACAATACGATTTTCCGGTTACCAGATCTGCAAGATTCGTGCGTTCATTGCACTATGACACAAAATTTAGGTTGCCTCCACGAGACTGATTAGGATTGCTCTTGCACCCAGACGAGATATATGGTTTAGTCCTCGCACATTATTCGATTAGGTAGGCTTTGTTTCACGAGGGAGAGATTAAGGTTAGATCTCACATAACTGGTAACACCCAAAAGTATTTTAAAAAGAAATACAATGTTTTAAATTAACAAGAAGTTACGCGCAATGTTAATGCCATTTTACAATTTTAGTACCTGACCTATTAAACCCATCGGTGATAAAAAAAAACAAAAAACAAACAAATCGCAATATGGGTGATATTGATATGAATGGACAGGTTTTGAACAGAACTACCCGATTCCAGTCAGAAAATAACATTAAGATAAATTTTATGCAAAATATAGAATTTTACAGCGCAAATAAAAGGAATCTTAAGCGTGTAACGCGTTACATTTTTTAAGCAGGGATCGCGCATTTTTCCTGTGTATAGTGTTCAAAAAAGAATCTCGAGTTTTCATTTTTCTCACAAAACAAGAGGAATCCATGTCGTTTTTGACTTCATTAGCGGTTCTGTATTCCATGGTGGCAAGAAAAAGAAAGCGATAGTTATTTACATAATAAGAATCTGTAACGTTATTAATCAAAAACGTGCATGTCAATATAGAGATTGATTTTACTCATTTAGAAAAAGTTTAAATAGAAACAATTTATATCAAAATAATGTGCTTTTCTTATATATTTTAAATATTTCATCAATGTTGATATTAAACTGCATGCTTTAAAGTTAGTTTATGGATTACAAGTTCAACAGAAATTTCCAGCGTCTAAAATTACGTAAAAATGAGATCAATCCGTTTTTCTAGGGGTTAGATTCTATTTTTTTTTTCATCGATTATGAAAATAATTATATGTTAAAAATGTGCTAATTTAAACGATCATATTGAATGACAGATTAATATATTTACTCTATTAATTATTATTTTACTCAACATTTAGGAGGTTCAACATATTTGTCCGGTGGACGTTCTTGACGCGTTATTCGTTTTGCTTCAACGTAATGCATGTAAGTGCGTTTGAGAGTGCTTTGAGTAATTAACAAACTTTATCAGATACAAATCGAAAGCACCCTTTTTTAAACTGGTTTAATTACAAGTAGCCTATGATTTTTTTTACTCATATTTCAAGTACAAAGACATAGCGATATGGTACCAATCAAGCTAGTAACACTATTACATTGTAGAAGCATTACATCAATTTTTCCATAGCGCTATAAAAACGTAACGTCAAACGTCACCAACATCATGCGTAACGTCCTTATATAATCAGTTTAATTAAACATTCCAAGATATCCTCTGCTGACCCTCATCCGAATATATATATATATATATATATATATATATATATATATATAGAGAGAGAGAGAGAGAGAGAGAGAGAGAGAGAGAGAGAGAGAGATGTCTCTCCTTCGGAATTTACATTACAACTGCATGGCTAACTACAAAATAAATTCCACTGAACATATTTTATGTCAAATTTCAGTGTGTAAATAACATTATTCATGAACATTCTTCAGAATAAACTAATGTCAGATACTAGTGATTAATAATAGCTGCCACCTTCATAATGTTCCTTAGATATTTGTCATTGGTCCTTATCATGTGAGTAGAATTGAGGAGAATTAAGCACACTACGTAGGTAACCTTGATAAAAATTTATCGTAGATTCTTATGAATATCACGTCAAATTTTCAGGACATGTTTTCTCGGGAGATTGTTTATGCTGTAAATCCTCGAGCTAACTTAACATTGCAGTTTTTTGCAGTAATATCTTGCTTATTTGAAATTATAATCATATGCTTTTTCTACAGGTAAATACATTGAAATAGTCTGTTTAATCGACCTAAAATTACAAATTCTTTCAAAAATATTTGCTAGGAACTACACATTGATATATTTACATCTCTAACTGTTTTCTCTGTGATAACTCTTTGAAAGTTAAGCGTATCGATTCCCCGATATTTACGACTATATGTAAATTTCACCAAATGCCTAATATGCATGTCAATTTTTCGGGGCTGTCATTTTGTCTGATGTCAGAGGGCGGGGACCATGGAAATTTATAAGGAATGACTCGTGTTCCTGTACGTATTTCAAATCTTTATATTTTTATTCACATATAAATGTAAATATAAGGAATCACTGTCTAGTTTGCTGGGTATCTATGACCATAAACGACAGTTGGAACGTATAATAATTTATGCATAATGGGTTTCGCCCATTGTGCAAATTATCCCCGTTTCTAACTGTCGTTAATGCCCTGGCATATCCAACAAACTAGATAGTGATTCCTTAAACATACATATATAATTTTGCATTTCATCTATAAACAATATATTTGAGGCAGTAGTAATAATTCGTTGTTAAGGGCAGATGATACAAACAAAACATAGATATTAAAATGGGTACAAATTTAACAAAAAATCAAATTTCTAAAAACTCTAATTAAAAATTGTCAACTTTCTATAATGCTCAAAAGTCTACCTTTCTGAAATTACCATTATAAATCTATACATTTTTTATCACTTTATAGGACATTTTTCGTGAAATAATTGAATGAAAAATTAAATTATTTGCGTATTATTTTACTTACATACAAATGACAAAAATTGTCATTTTTATGGTTTTAAAAAGTTTGTGTTTATCATCTGTCCTTAGGATAAAAAACGTGTTTACTTTTCTCCATTTATTTTGTATATTTTTGCGTAATAAATAAAAGCTAACTAAAATCTGTAAATTCCTGAAGTCACCAGAAAGTGAGGTCCAATGAATGAAGTCGAAAACAAGAAAAGAGTTACAACATCTCTAGATAATGCATGACATAAAATCACGTGTATATGACATTACAACCTTATCCATGTAATATTTGTCAAAAGGGCTAGGATATCATTTTTGATCAATGTGAAAGAATGAATAATTTTTTATAAGACAGTTTATGAAATATTTAAAAAGTCCGGAATTAGATTAGTTCTTTTAAATAGGGATCTAGATTGACAAGTCTAAAATGCAATTAATTTGTGTTCATTGACATTAAATTGGTTTTTATGAGGAACATTTTAGTATTAAAATCAAAACTTATGACGTATTTTGAATGTAAAACTGTTTGCAGAAAAAGGAACAAATCTGTCTTAGGTTTCTGGACAGATATCTGACAGTGTTTCTTGGTCGTTTAAGCTTTTTTTTCCAAAAATGTTTTTGAGTATGGTGGATTTAAAGTCTCCAGATCTGTTTTCAATCTTATATTTTTCACACTCAAAATTAGAAACTGGTCTCCATCGCTCTGAAGGTTTCAAAGATGAACATAGTTTCTGAAAAAATAGAAAAAAGTGTCAATAAATTACAAAATCGTAAAAGTTGATCAAATCATAACTTAATTTCCTCATGGTTTAAGTACAGCTTGTGAGATTTTTTTAAGGTTACAAGTTGACGATCTACTAGAACGTTTTAATTATCTATCCATCTTCTCTTCTATTTAGAAAATTTGGGACACTTCTATAACAATCCCAAAACGCAGTAAAATACCCAAGACGTTGATTATCCTGAATCAGTCGAATGTTGATTGAACATTGATTGCACATTTAATATTCTATAAGAGAGTTTCAAGCATATTCTGTAGAAACCAGGACTTGTATTATAGAAGACTACTCCGTAAAAGTATTATTTCGAAAGGTTTTATCGTGGAGGGTCCTTAATTATTGGTATTCCCAAATTGGTGGCATTTCAAACCAAGAAATTTATGCATTTTTGTGTAGCCTGCAGAGCAGAGCGACGCTTAGGAATCACTTTATCCGGAATCTTTGTCTGTCCGTCTGTCTGTCTGTCTGTCACACCTTATATCTCAAGAACTGTAATAGGCATGGATATAATATTTTGCACACATATTGCTTGGCACATTGACTTTTTATAAACTTGGTTACCGACCTCATCACCTTTGAACTTGACCTTTGACTTACTTTTCAAATAAGTTCAGAGTGCCGATATACAGCATATTTTTTACTTTTAAGTGGTAAGTTTATGCTGTTTGGCATATGCATTGTTTGTCATAAAATATTTTTTAAAAATATTAGCATTACAGGCCACTTGACCTCGACCTTTGACCTACTTTGCAAAAATACTCCGGACGGTGTAATTTAACTGATGTCTTAGTTTTAAGAGGAAGAGTTTTGATAATTAGCATTTATATGTGCTTTTGAGCTCATGACTCTGTACTTTGAAACTGTAAAATATACAGTTACCACATAAACTATGAAAAAACATTGGGGTCAGTATTCCAAAATGAACCCTTAAGACTAACAATTGCAGTAAAGACAAACTGAAATCCTTTTGGAGAATTGCTGGAAAGACGTATTAATAGAATGATGAATAATTATTTCTAATAATTTCAATTTCATACTTTATTTTAGCTTTGAGGGCTGGGGAGTATTATTTGTATTTGATTGTAAGATTTTGTCGCAGTCCTACTATCTGCGTACCTTTCTTTGCAGGCCAATGGATGAACAATAATGCTAGTAGCAAATAAATAGCTGACCACTCCTCGATTTATTTACATTTTTATAAAGCTATATAGCAGCGACACATGCGTTCTTTGGAACACTCTAGTGTTAAATATATCATATTGCTTGTTAATATGGTGGTTAACAGTAAATAATAAAATAAAACTTTGAAAATTCCAAAGAAACAATTAGATTCGCCATTGTTTTAAAAAAAATTAGAAAAATATGCTATAATTTTTGTAAGGTAATATATTTTAAGTGAAAAAAATTTAAATTAGAATTCCTTAGCAGTATGCAATCAAAAACAAAATCTGCACAAAAGTTTATCATCTATACATTAAACATAATGTGATTGTTGTTTAATGTTCAATCATTAGTAAAACTACAGGGGACACCAAAAGGTTTATGTCTATTATGCGTTCCGTGAGTATTTTTTAAAAGACCAGTTATATTTAGATGGTAAATAAATTTACAATAAATACACACTTATAGTTTAAATGTACTTTTAAAAGTTTTTGAAAAGGTTTAAAAGAGAAATGTTTTATCAGTAAGCATTTCTGACTAGAGCAGGTGTTTGTCACATGATCCCAGTGTAGTCATGAAGTGTGACCGTTACACCATTTAAGTTTTACTCCAAGGAACACGTTATCATAAGAATGATAATGTTTTTCATCAAATATGAGAGTTATCCAAAAAATTGTAGACAATGTCTACAACTTTGTAAATATTCATCAATAGAAGTCAAATTTTACATGAGTATTATTTATTCGATGTTTGTCAAAATCATGGTTTTGAAAATATTTCTGTCAAAACAATAAAATAAAACTGATTAATAACAAGGTCGATATGGTCCGTTCGTGCAAAATCAAAATCCGGAATAATTTATGTCTATAACCATCAATTGCGCTCCTTTTTCTAATAATATAGGCAACATTAAATTAAGATAAAGGAAAAAGTTCGAGTAATATGTCATTTTAACATAAATGATTTCATAGACACAGGAGTGGAGACGTAGTTTTCAAAGCTTACCCTGAATTGAGTTTGCCGCAAATGGCGTCGCGAAAAACACTACTAGAGCATAGAGATATGATGAAATACATGTACGTGTATTTTGTTGAATGTGGAAAAAAGATATAGAAATGACTACAACACAGAGAAACGTTAAAAGAGCAGTTGTATATAAATAACATAAGATATTCAAGGACAGTTTGACCTTGAGGATATATATAACATACACAAATATTTAATGCATGAATTCATATATATTTTTTGACTGATTTTGAGAAGAAATGACATAAGTAAGTGTTTATAGAAAAATCGTAAATTTTCTTTGGTTCTTAAATATGCGACTTTGTACCGTTTTCAATGTTAATCTTTACAAATTCTGCACACATTTTTAACATTATTTTAAAATCTTAGAAAAGGTTTGCACTTACCCTGGCAAACATTATTCAGGTTACCTACATGAACATAAGTGTATGTGATATATTGTTGATTTTTCAATACCGAAAAAGGAATACCGAAGAGGAAGAGTAACTACTGTCAAATTCAGAGGGTGAGAAAGACTATGGATCGAAATCAAACTTTGCGTAATTTTCTTACTGAAGGTCACCTTGCGAGAACTGAAATTTGAATCTGATGACGAAATTAGACAAACAATGATGAATTTCAATTCGTCCCTGGATAGTTTGCCAGTATACGTGACAAAAGGGTGCGACGGCGCGAGAAGTGTGTTTTGAAAATGAGCGATCATGACGTTACTAAAATCATAATTTACGTTAAGTTTCTTTCGCTAATATGCTTCCGTTATTTTTTCATAACATGTGTTATTATGAAACTTGAAATTAAAGATTGTTAAAGATTGTTTTTTTTCACTTCTTGCTTATTTCCAACGAAATACGTTCCCCGGGGGATATCATTCAAACTTCAATGACCATAGAACACATTTTTAAAGCAGAGAAAATACTTTAATCGGAACTGTTGATATCAGATCTAAATTGGCAATATAAATACATTTCTCTTTAAAAAAAAAATACTTTTTTTCAACAAATATATCATTTGTTATATTCATTTGAAAAAGGATGAATTTTAAAAGATAAACACTAATAATTTAAGAGTTGAATCACTAAAGTAATAGCGAATAACTATAGTTAACCTTCCTTACAGTATCACCTTTAGACCGTCTTATGGCTCTTATCGCACAGATGGGTAGAGGTACTATAGGAAGGAAGGCCACGATCCAACCAATAGCTCGACCGTACGCCGGATACGTGTAAGAACCAACCATTGGCGGTCGGTACGTGTTTATAGAAAATGCTTATAGCATCTGTTAAAGATACAGATGTTGTTTCAATCTTACAGTTATATTCAATATATTGAATTTTAGGAAAATAAACGATTAAATAAAGTGCATTATATATATATATATATATATATATATATATATATATATATATATATATATATATATATATATATATATATATATATATATATATATATATATATATATATATATATATTTATATATTTGTAGAAATGGTTTAAACATCTTAATGCCAAGTTGCAGAATCAGTCAAGTGCAATGTGTAAGAAGGTATTTTAGCAGGGAAAACGCACCACTAAAAGGAGGGGTGTAATTACACACCACAAAATCCTCATATAAATAGGTACACCTCTTCCAATCATCATTTCAATGTCACGTGACAAGTTATCTGCCCCTAAAAGTTAAATTCAAAATTATATATATATATATATATATATATATATATATATATATATATATATATATATATATATATATATATATATATATATATATTGCTGATTTCTGAACGAGTTTTCTCAACACCGAAAAAGGAATACCGGTATATGTTCATCAAAAATAAAAAAACTGTAAAGTTTGAATTGTCAATCATAGACGTAAATTGTATGGAAACTTATAAATGAAGGGCCCTAAATCGCAAGGAATATATAATTTTTCTATAATAATCAACTATATACATTTAATTGTATTATTACTTTGAAGTCATTAGCAAAGTAAACCCATTGTTTTAATGCAGATCAAATGTGCAATTTCATACATTTATCGACCGATTTTCAACACTCACAAAGATGGAAGGGAGTTGTATTCTCAACATTGTTTGAAGTATTATCAAGTCTCAAACCCCACACTGAAATATCGGTGGATTACCTCTGTGTCATTCCACATTTATTTGCTTTTATAATAGTTTAGCAAACATTTACCATAAATCCAGCCAAAAATTAAACATTCAATCACTCCAAAGAGAGGTAAACAAAAGGCTGCAATGTACCAGTCTAACAGCTGAAATATGTAGATCCCACACTAAAAGAATACAGAATGAAACAGTTATTATAATTTCACATTTCATGTTATCTCCGTCTCAAATATAGAAAATTTGTAAGGCTGCTTATACAAAAAATTGAGCATAGGTAATTTCATTACGTAGTAAACATTTTTACATGTTTTATTGAGGTTTCCATCAGAAATAACCTTATTTATACTACTTATCACTACCTATCATACTGACCTTGACGCGTTCGGTTTTTATCCAGCCACATGAATCAGTATACGTATTAAGGTCAAGATCTAGTGAATGAAAGGTGCCCATAGATTTCTCAAATTTGAGATACACATTCTTTTAATGATCCTTTACGAATATATCTTGGTAAAATAAGGTGTATCCGGACATAATTTTGGGGTAAACTCGTCGGAAGAACGTATTATAAACTGCCTATTTTCATTAAAAAATGAAGAAAGTCTGGTATAATTACGGGAGTTTTTTCCATCTCAGACAAAAGAAATGTATCAATATTGCCTACAGTCTCTCAGAAAACGGTTTTTCATATCTACTTGATCTCTACTTTAAAATGATATTAAATGGAATAAGGGTATCGAGGTTACATTTGACATGATTTCAAATTGAATTCCATGAAAGTGCTTTATTTTCTACATGATTCTATTGAAGCCGTAAAGTATGGGAAAAATTAAGTTTAAATCAATTATGACGTCATAATGAACTAGTACCAAGAAGAAAGTCTAAACTCATTTATTAGATCTTGACCTTAAGTATCCTTACCCCAGTGCATAGTAGCAATCCAACGAGAAGGAAAAACAGACAAGAAAACATTGACATATCAGTCTTGAGTTTTGATTTGTTGTATGTTTTACGTCCCATATATGATTCGAGAATTTTTCACTCGTATGGAGACGTTGAGTTTTGAACTAATAATTACCACCTGGTCAGTTACACGTTGAAACTGTTGATTAAATATGGGGCTAATAGATTGGGCATTCTGGTAATCATTACTTTTGTTAGATAATAATTTTATCAAGAATGTATTCTTTGGGAAAATGATTGTTATATACATATATGTAAGACTCTAACTAATATGAGACCTCGGTTAGATTAGATGACTGCTTAACTTTTGGAAAAAGAAAAATTGCCAGATTCTGAGGTCGCTTCTACTTGTAAGGTTTAAATAAAATAAGGGACAATAATCAGCAATGTTAGTTATGATAATTATAACCATCCCAAAACATAAGCAGCTTAATTCGTAAGGGATAAATATTTCATTGAAGGCAGTCATCAAATCCTGCGGCTTTTTGTTTTTAATAAGAGGTGAATCATCATAGCGACTTACATTTTATAATTCTTAGTGAATAATGATCTGATCTGAAAAAAATTCTAATAAAATATTTAGTTTCCTTTTATCATAAACATTGGATCCCTTTCTTTTGCAGCAAAACAATATTTTGACGATGATTGACCGCGACGTATGGTCATATTTATTGACAGATCTAGGGTATGGAACGCCATAGCTGTCTTAAGGTATGATACATCATATTACATGGTGTGTTCTATATAATAAAGGGTTGATTCAATATATTAAATGGTCATCACTCCTTGTTAAAGGGTGAAGGGCACATAATACATGGTGCGTTCAATATAATAAATGGTCGGTTCATTATGTTAAATGGTCAACATTACTTGTTATAGGGTGAAACGTACCTAATAAATGGTGTGTTCAATATAATAAAGGGTGGGTTTATTAAGGTAAATGGTTACTGCCACTCATCATAGAGTGAAACGTACATAATACATGGTGCATTCAATAAAATAAAGAGTTGGTTCGTTTTGTTAAATGGTCACCACTACTTATTATAGGGTGAAACGTACATAATACATGGTGCGTTCAACATAATAAAGGGTCGGTTCATTGTGTTAAATGGTCACCACTACTTATTATAGAGTGAAAGTACATAATAACTGGCGTTTTCAATATAATAAAGGGTCGGTTTATTCTGTTAAATGGTCACCGCTACTTGTTATAGGGTGGAACAAAATAAATGGTTAGTATTGCATTACAAAAGATACGTCAAGTACATTACTTGGTGTGCAGCTAACAATATGTTGGCTTAAATGGTGTCTTTGGAAGGTTTAAAATGCCACACTCTTCTTTTGATATTCTTATTTTAATTTTGTGTGTCAGTATGTGTGTGTGTAGGGGGGGGGGGTACCCAAACTTAAAGAATAAGGGGGGATACGCAAACTTGAAAAATCTAGTTTAGTAAGGGGGTTAGGTACGGTCTAGGTCAGATTATTTATTTTCGCCCAAGTGGGAGACAGATTGTTTATTTTCAACAATTTCATGGACAGATTATTTATTTCCAAAATCTTCCAGGCCTCCCCTACCTCAGAATCAGTCAAGTTTATCTGACACAATAAAATAAAATATCAATTAAGTATCGATGTAGGCCTGTGGTTCGAGGGGGAAGGGTGCACCGATTTGATATGAAAATTTTCATTCAAAGGCTGTTTGCCGCCCCCCCCCTCCCATATTTTTATAGCAGCATGGTTGAAATGTGTCCCACTTTAATGCATTGATTTAAGACAATGTCGAAAAGTTATAGAAAGATACTACAACCAACCCCCAACCAACCCCCCCCCCCCAGTAGGTTTTTTTTAATTCTTGTCAATTTTTTTTTATCCCCCGTTTAGAAATGTTGTTATGGGCCTATGTGGCAAATTAAAAGCGTTGTATACTGTATAGACACGACCCCTCCTCCAGTTTCCACACAAGGGGGGGGGGGAATTTTTACGAAAGGATTGAGAGAGGTGTGGTCTTTCTATAAACAATTTTTTTAACATAGAAAAATGATATTTTTACAGAGGAGGAAATATTATGTAATAAGTGACTGTGATGTTCCTTAGAAGATTACACATTACGTACGGCAAAAAGAAGATGACACTAAACTCTCCCTACCCTTCCATCAGCCGTTCTTTTTTATCAATCGTACTTGATAACGATATACATTTAAAGATACGTGACATTTGTGTACTAAAGGCAAGTACCAAAAACGAGTACTGATTCACATCACATTTCTTATAGAATTAAACGAAAACACAGAAGAATATTATGGAAAGTAATTTGATTTTGTGTTGTTGGGGCTGGGAGATTCTAGATATAAATTATACTAGTATTCCCCCACTGCGAAGAAAAATAAATAAATGGACCTTGTTAGGTGGTACCACCCTGAAAATATAGAGTTTGGGTACCTCCCCGCAATAAAATATTTTTTGGCATGTCAATCTTAATGAACATGAAGAGGAAAATTAAATCTGACCCAGATCACCTTTAAAATTAATTATCCGTCCTATACCGACATAAAAATAAATAATCTGACACTGAAAAATTTGCCAACGCCCCCCTTTCAGAATGAAATGGCCGATTCCTAAAATGTTCCGGGAAATATAGTTTTACGGTACGTTTCATTGATAGCTCGCACAAGACCTCAATGTATATTCAAATTTGCATAAGAGGTCGCAGCGCCCCCTTTCGTCCTAATTTGCTTAGAAAATTTGACCCGGATTACTCATTCTAACTTTCTTATTTTAACATTTTTACTATTACTTACTCTTAATTTCTAACTCCGCCTTTACACATTTTTTTACTGAAATAAAGGAAGGTGTATATACTGAAATAAGATTTTGAAAGTTTCTTAAAGAATCAAGTGTCTTTGGAATATAATCTTTCAATTTCAGCCTCATAAAGTAAAAAATAAAAGCTGTACGGTTCTTTCGGTGACCAAGTAAATATTCAAATTTAGAAAGTCTGTAAAAAGGTCAAAATGAAATGAAAAATTGAATTGGAAAAACAAGATGTTAGAACTAAGATAATAATAAATGAAATATTAAAATAAAATTATAAATATCAATAAATTAAAGTAAGAATACTAAAAGAGAACTGTGCCACGGAAATCTCTCCATAAACACCAGTTAATTAAATCAACATAGCTAACTTTTAATGTGTGTTTTTTGAAACCATGTGAAATTAGCTGCACACTAATTATATGTACTTAACGCATTTTTTAAAACGTGTTAATTTCTATTTATTATGTGCCTTTCACCCTATAACAAGTAGCGGTGACCTTTTAATACAGTAAACCGACCCTTTATTATATTGAACACATCGTTTATGTACCTTTCACTCTATAACAAAGAGTGGTGACCATTTAACATACTAAACCGACCCCTTGTTATGTAGAATACACTATTTCTTAGACACCCTTAACCGTATGACAAAGGATGGTGATCATATAACATAATGAACCGACCCTTTATTATATTAAACGCACCATCTATTATGTACGTTTCATCCTATAACAGGTAGCGGTGACCATTTAACATAATGAACCGACCATTTATTATACTGAACGCACCATTTATTATGTACGTTGCACCCTTTAACAAGTAGCGTTGACCATTTAACATAATAAATCGACCCTTTGTTATATTGAATGCACCATTTATTATGTACGTTTCACCCTATAATAAGTAGTGGTGACCATTTAACACAATGAACCGACCCTTTATTATATTAAACGCACCATCTATTATGTACGTTTCATCCTATAACAGGTAGCGGTGACCATTAAACATAATGAATTCACCCTTTAGTATATTGAACGCACCATTTATTATGTACGTTTCACCCTTTAACAAGTAGTGGTGACCATTTAACATAATGAACCGACCCTTTATTATATTGAATGCACCATTTATTATGTACTTACACCCTATAATAAGTAGTGGTGACCATTTAACACAATGAACCGACCCTTTATTGTATTGAATGCAAAATTTATTATGTACGTTTCACCCTATAATAAATAGTGGTGACCATTTAACATAATGAACCGACCCTTTATTATATTGAACGCACCATGTATTATGTACGTGTCACTCTATAACAAGTGGCGGTGACCATTTAACATGGTTAAATGATCCTTTATTATATTGAACGCACCATTTATACACCTTTCACCCTATAACAAGGGGTGATGACCATTTAACATACTAAATTGAGCCTTTATTATCAGTCTAGACGAACTCCAAAAACAGCGTTTCCGGAAGTAAGAAATTGAGACTGAAAAAGACTCCGAAAATAGAGTCCGCGCATGCGCGCACACACAAAAAATGGCGATTTTTCGGCAAAAATGATGGGTCTACAAAAACTGTCCGTGCAAAGTTTTGGAAAGTATGGCAATTATACCAGTACTCAGAAATGCTAAATAAAAGACTTTGGAAGAGATCGTATTTGTCAGATTTTTGATTTTATTTGCAAAAAAGGAGATATTTACTTTCAAAGTTAACGTTTCATGTCAGATCAATTACAGAGAAAATGATACGTTTTGAGGAGTAAATATGCATAATAATAGGGATATATATGCAAAATGGGACAATATATGTTGTAACTGTTAAAAACCTGACTGAATTTTGCACATAAATTAGCATTCCGGTTTGTAATTTGTGTACGACATCTGAATTGAACGCTTAAGTTTTTACCATCGTTATTTACCGATTTTTTTATCACATACGAACAGATATTATTATGAAAACATTTTTAAACCTATTATCTGTTAATATGAAGACTTTAAAAACCACTCTTCTAGATATTAAGGGCACAACATGTCTTCTAAAAATGAACTTGCCAGAAAGGCTGAAACTTATGTGGAAGTATCCTGGGATAGTGTAGATTCTAATTGTTTAAATCATGACCCCTGGGGGTAGGGCGGAGCCACAATAAGTACTACGGAGGGGTGTGTGTGAGAGAAATCGGGTGAAAAACAGCAAGGCCAAACTTACTCAGGTGAGCGCTGTGGCCCATGGGCCTCTTGTATTTTCGCCTTTTCTCCCTACTCACAGGTGGGCAAATTTTAAAAAGAGGGGGGGGGGGAATTCAAAGAAAACAGTATAATTTCTGAGCAGAATTTTGACCGGGCGAATTTAAAACGGGGGAAAAGTGTGAAAGGGCGAAAATAACCCTGTACACAGTATATCTATCTAAATGTTAACAGGCATTTAATATACAGGTACCTCACGAAGATAGAGGTATAAAATATCGAAATCAGGAATTTTCTGTTTGTATCTTAAGTAAAATCTAACAGAGCCCTGAGCTAAAAGAGCCATTGGTATGATACAAACTGGTTGCAGCATAAAAGAGGTCAGGTTCTGCAATTTTCTCTGTTTCAATTGCTATTTTCATTACTATGAGAACCTTTAATTTTGATTCCCAAAAAATTTGTGCATATTTGCTAAAAAAGAGAAAAATATGGACAGTCAAAACGTCGGGTAACTATACGGCTCATCGTTATATTTACATGATTTCGCTTTAGAGAAACCTGAATTTAAGTGTCGAACATTTATCCGTTTAATTAGTGGTATAACATTAATTTCATAGGTATTTCATCCAATATCAATTAATAATGAAATATTAATTTTAAAAAAAGAAAGAAAAATTACTTATCAATTGTTTTTTTTAAATAATCTTAATGTAACCGCTAGTAATATCGCATAATATACTGAAACGCAAAAGAAACGCAACAAGCAGTGATCTACAAATTCTTGAATTCTTTATCCGATGATTTTCAAAATAAATACAGTAAGGTAAAACACGATTTAAAAACATCAGAGATTTGATAAAAATGTTAAATGATTATCTTTTAACCCTAGAAAGTAACACATGACTATTAAAACACCCCCACCCCACCCCGGCCACTCAATTACAGCGTGCAAGACTGCCATGCACAACAATTGCAGCTTGATTTCTACGATGCAATATGTTTATCTATCTCGAGATCTGAACGAAAGAAATATTCTTTGCCATTTTAAATACCCGTTTTTCAGATGATAAGGTCGAATTTTCTCTAGCCTAGCGCAATGTAGTAAACCTTGGACTTCCGGTCCAAGGACTGTCATTCATGCTAATGATAGGTAAGAGTCTCTTGAGGCGTGATGTAGTGCATATTTGCATCTGCAATTCTCCATCACCTTTATTTTGAGATTTTCCAGCAAGAGCAATGGAAATGAGTACTGACATCATTTTCAGGAAGCCTTGGCATCGCTTACGGAAAAGAAAGGAAAATTTATTTTTCGGAAAATTGCTTCATTACTTGTGATAAACAGATACCAACCTTTAAAACCCCATATTATTGCCAAATATTTTGTTAGACAAGGCATTGCAATTTTTGATTTCTGTTAAGCGGACTCAAACTTAACTTCCGGTAATGGTATGAAAATCATTCAACCGTTAAATTACCGACATTTACAAAGTTGAAGATGTCCTTACTTTTTAGATACAAAATTATATCCTATATGTAATATTTCCCCCTAAAATAGGATGTTGCGTTTCTTTTGCGTTTCAGTATATAACGTCAGTACCTGTGCGTGTACTTTAAAGTTTTGATTAGTATACTTGAGTCAAACGTTGTATTGTTCAGGTATTTCTAAGTTTAAATAAACAACATGTTCCCAGTACGTTATTTTTCTTGGCTTAGTGGACAAGAGCAGACTAAAATCTGTGAATTTCTGGACCTATCAGAAATTATATTCCGGTAAAATAAAGCACAAGAAAGAAACTTGAGTTACAACCAAAATCATGAAAGAATACATTTTATTTCAGATTAAATTGAAAAAAAAAATTATCAACCAAATGTTTTAAAGTATAGTGAAAACAAACATTTAGTTGATAATTATCATTAAAAAAATGCAATGGTATGCTGGCAAAATAATGAATTGTCACATATCTTACATGTAAAGTTGCAAACAGATAAGCAGCGAAAAATAAATCTGCGTTATTTTTCGAGGCAGGAAACCTGTATTTTGATGTCTAAGTTTATCTTCCAAAAATGTTTCTGAGTATGGTTGATTTAAAGTCCCCAGATCTATTTTCAATCTTATATCTTATAAACACAGAATTAGATATCGGTCTCCATCCCTCCGAAGGTTTGAAAGATGAACACAGTTTCTGAAAAAACGGGAAGAAAAAAAGTATCGATTATTAGAAGAATTATGAAAGCATATCAAAATCATATTAATTAATGGCTTGTGGGATTATTTGACAAGTGGCAACCTGACGATCTTAAAATGTTTAAATCATTCATTCATGTTTTCTTCTGTTTAAAAACGTTGAAATACTAAACGTTATCAGATGCACAGAATATCAAATCATCTGAATCATTCGACTGTTGATAGAACCTTAATTTTACATGAGAATTTTAAGTATCTGCTTTGAAAAACTTCGTTTCTATTCATTTTTCTTCCAAGCCTCAAAACGTATTGCCGAGGACATTCCCGTTTAAGTGTGAGTTTTAAAAAATAAAACATCAATGAACTGGAACAAATTTATAGAAAAACTTAATCATTATCTTTTTATAACTGACTTCATGTCATTGGTTAATTTTTGATTGCCAATCAGATATTTCCCTTACCAACAGCTACTAATCAAAAGACATAAAGGTACATACAGATGTAAATGAAAAATCTTAGCAGATAGACGACAAAATCTCAGAAGAGAATGGCTTTACCTTCCATACGGTATCACCTTTAGACCGTCTTATGGCTCTTATCGCACAGATGGGTAGAGGTACCATAGGAAGGAAGGCCACGATCCAGCCAATAGCCCGACCGTACGCCGGATACGTGTAAGAACCAACCATTGGCGGCCGGTACGTGTATATAGAAAATACGGATAACATCTGGTAAAAAAAAATAAAGATGTGAAATTGTAATATAGATTATTATTGATAAAATTTGACAATGAAATAAAATGCTTTCTATATTTGTACAAATGAATTCAATTTCTGCATAGTTTTCAATTTGAAGCGTCACTGATGCAGTATTTCATCACTTACCACTAACAGGAAGGGCGTAATCACACACCACAAAATCCTCATATAAATAGGTACACCTCTTCCGATCATCATTTCAATGTCACGTGACAAGTTATCTGCCCCTTAAAGTCATACATAATAACGCATCATTATATGTTAAGATATTTATTTGTTAATGTGTGAAGTTTTATTCCATATGATTAAATGGAAATCATGTTACTTAATTTTAAAATCATTATGGGTTTTTTTTTTACCAAGGAGCACACTTAATAGCAGTATAACATCAAAACATAATGTAATGAGTTTCTTAAAAATACTTTCCCTTATACATTTCACATAATAGTCTGGCGCCATAACGAGCTATTAATTAAAAAAATTCTATATCACCTGGCATTTAGTTTAATTAAAGTTATTCGTTTGTCAAACATCATCAATTTTTGCTTACTTCGATATCCTATCTTTTGAAATTGATTTCTTTTCACAATTTGGCATTTGAAATGATGTAACAATTCTTGCTATGAACAATATTTTCCCCGTTTTTAACCACTTAACAGAGAAATGACTTAAATTCAGACATTATTAAATTGTATTGTTCGTAAATTATTAAATTTTGACTCTTTCCATGATTCCATTTTGAAAGCAGTTTAAATTTGAAGAAAATTTAAAATATATAAAAACGATTTTAAAACTTTTATTTTAAATCTTTCGAATGTATTGTTATACTGTAAAATAAATTTTTGGGGGGGTCAATTTTTCGTGGTTTGAGGAAAAAATATTGTTTCGTAAGGATTTCATTTGGTGGTTGAAGAAAAAACACATTATATTGTAGTTATGAATTTAAATATTTAGTGGGGACATGAATTCATTGGTCTTTCCATACCACAGAAACGACGAAAATTACCCCCCACCCCACCCCCGAATATATAATATGCCTACCATTGGATATGAGATGACGTAAAGTAAAAAGATATGACAAAGGTCAGCGAACTTTTTGAACAGCCCTCGTACAGTGTATACACATGTATGTTTTTCCCTATATCGACTATAACCTTTCCCCCTTTTCAGAGGCTTGACTATGCAAGACATTTTATTGATCGAGAAATGAGTCTAGCAAAAAAGATTCGCACGCCTTATGAAAGCCGAAAACCAAGCAAAAATCATTGCTAGAATTGAGTGATAACTATCGTACCATTAAAAAGTCATTAAAGATATACATAAACGCAATTTTTTATTTGAAATTAAACAAATAATGATTTGAAAAACATGATGTGTAATAAAAAATAATTACTTTCCACAAAGTTTTACTAAATAAGTCGTTGTAATTACAAAACAATTAAGCAAGATTTGCAAATTAAGAATTCAGCCTATTCATGAATATTGATGAAGGAAGTGCGTAAACAGTATATAGACACGCATGTCCGCGGGAAATCATAGACAACGAGGTACATTTTGACTACGATTTTGAATAAAAGTTAATATCTCTCATTTCAGAGTAGATGGATAATACTGGTTGTTTTAAAAGATAATACCGCATATTTGAGCTCGTCTCACAATATGCGTCGTTATCAAAGCTCTACCCTGTTGTTAATGTCATCATTCGCCTCTTATTTTGCGTGAAACTGATGATTGAGTAAAGTCGGAATTTTGTTATCCACCCATACAGTGTTGGTACTTAGTCACTATGTTTCCGGGTTATCTCCCCTTTTCTATGCAAGTGAAAGGATCTGATTTAATTTTTTGTAATTTGAAATACCCTCCGACCTCAACCCTTGAGCTAGGTGTTTAAGTATACCCTTTCTCCTTTCGTACATCTACGTAGTTTTACATAATTGGGCTATACCTATATTTATTGACAGTTATGGAAATGTTATTGAGATTCTTTTCTGCTTTGGGTTGTTTTGTTTTTCTCTTTTCAGAAATTAGCGGTGCCGTTGAAGGAGACCAACGATGTTGATCAGGATTGCCGGTTATTTCCGTTAAGGACCTTTTGAATGATTTGGGCCAAATACAGTATCCTTCCGAGGAGTTCGGGGAAAACCATACTTCACAGTGGTCAGATTGGCGAAATTGTCACCTTCAATTTAACCATTGAACTATTTATATTCTTGACTTTTTGTGGTTGATGTTGATATATGTGATGTTTGATGTTGATATGTGTGATGTTGACTTTGAAAATTATATCTCATATAGAGTAAATCTAAAGCAAAATTACCGTATATACTCGCCTATAAGTCGGATTTTTGGGAGTTAAACTTTGGTCCAAAACTCTATGTCCGACTTATAGGCGAGTTATAAAAAGATTGATATTTTAGAAGGTCAGTCCCTCTAATATAAGTTTAAAAAATAAAACCGACTTATAGGCGGACCGACTTATAGGCGAGTATATACGGTATGTAATATAATTGATATGATTAATTATAATTAATATAATTAAAGATAATTTATGTTGAAATGTGTCCGTAGCACGGTTGAGATCAACCCAGCGTGCTACTTTTCCCGTCAGGGAGGGCACAACTTAATTGTTGATGTTGGGGGATGTGCCAGTTTGCCGGCTGCCCCACTGTTGTGTAGACCACTGTGGACAATACCTGCCAACTCGAATAAAACATATAAAATAAATAAGGCATTTGTTTTAAATATATTAAGGTCTTTGATAAGTATCTTTAAGCATAAAACGTATGCCATCCATGTCAAAAGGTATTTTGTATACCAAACGGCCTACCTCGTTTTCTTGACGCCAGTTTTGTTTATCAATCTAAAAGTAGCGACGGTGTCACATGATTCATGAATTTAAATAAAGGTATTACTTTCCTAGTAGGATAATAATAATTATAATTTGAGATCTTTATAATTGTCAATTGTTTGATACATATATATTAACTGTTTTAAATTATGGGTGTGAAATTTGGGACTTCCATAGATCACCTGAAATAGAACGCATTCATCTTATGTTTTGTAAAAACCTACTAGGAGTTAAAAGATCTACTTGTATTTATATGGTTTATCGTGAATTAGGTCGTTATCCATTAATCATAACCAGGAAAATAAGAATTATGAAATACTGGTGTAAATTACTTCGTACAAATAACTGTATATTGAAATCTTCTTATGAATATTTATTGTATAATGCTGAAAATAAATTACATTCCAAACTTAACTGGGCAAGGGATGTTAAAGAGGAGTTGTTTAGAATGGGACTTTTTGGATCAATCAAGATTTTATTAATCCAACACAGTTTATATCTCTATATAAGGAAAGACTGTTGGATATCTACTTTCAAGATTGTAATGCATTTTTTGAAAATTCAACAAATTGTTTCTTGTATAAGAACATTGTGTGTGACAATTTTTCCAAAATTCATGCATATTTGACAAAACCTTTTAATTCTAAGTTAAAGAAGTATATTACTAGAATAAGGCTTTTTTCCCATAGCTAAAAAATAAATTCAAGTATACAAACAGGAAGATATCAGAAAATAGAAAGAAGTAAGAGAATATGTCAATTTTGTAATGATCACCGTATCGAAGATGAATATCATTTTTTGCTTGAATGTCCTGTATATGATCCTTTAAGAAGAAAATATATCAAACCATATTATTTCAGATCTCCAAATATGTACAAGCTTACTCAGCTACTCAGCTCTCTTGATGTTGGTGTTTTAGTTGGATTAGGGAAATTCATTCTTCATGCAATGATATTAAGAAATGATGAATAATTTAATTTATATGTATATTATGTATAGATATTTTTTTCATGTATTAATGGAGAGTTTATAATGCTTACTGTAATTGTTGTAGTTGAGGAGTCGGACAGATGGGGGTTCCACCCCCGTAGACTCTCGCCATGCGTTTATATTTATGTTCATTTTGTATATGTGGATGGGCCGTATGGCTTAAAGTTGTTTAATAAAGAATTATTATATCATAATGCGTTCATTTCCAATTATGTAATTTACAATATTTTCGTAACTTTATTCGGTAAACAAAATAAATAAATTTCCAACTTTATTTTTAACTGACGCAAGTTATAGCGCGTATATCTTTCAGCAAATTGAAGTGATTGCTGGATCAACGTGCATTTAACAAATTCTCGTCTTACATGTTGGTGGAACGGAGATGTATTTTCACTTTGATTTGTCAAACTCGACATTGAAGAATTGATTCTGTGCTATCTCATTAATTTATTTTCTCTCATAGAACTTTGGCGAATGGTTACCATAAATCCAGCCAAACACCAAACATTCAATCACTCCAAAAAGAGGTATACTAAAGGCTGCAATGTACCAGTCTAGCAGCTGGAAAATGTAGATTCCACACTAAGGAATAGAGAAATGAAAAAAATATTGTAATTTCAAACTTCGTGTTATTTTCATAAAAAATATGCATTTGTAAAGGGTTTTCTTTACACATGAAATCGACTAAAACCAAAATTATTACAAACTAACACTTTTCAATTTTTTTTTTACAGATATTTATCAGAGATTATAAATATGTTAAACTGATCATTGCACATCATGCGGATCATGACATATTTGGTTTTTATTCCAGCCACATGAATCAGTATACATGTCGTAAGTATACTTACCCCAGTGCATAGTAGCAATCCAACAAGAAAGAGAAACAGACAAGAAGACATTGCCGTTAAGGCCTTGTGATTCCGCATACGAGGAAAAATATCTGTGAAAGCGGTCAAACAGGATTCCAGGGTGGTAAACTTGTGTAAATTAAAGAAGAATACAATATTATTTAAATATTTGAGAGAAAATATCAACTCTCGTATGCGCAGAGAGTAAGAAAAAAGTAAAATTCAAGTAAAATTAATAAGCTTGTCATTTAAAAAATGACGAAAATCGCTACGGTTACAACAAACTGCCCAGTTGAAATGCAAACAAACAGGGTTCAGCAATTCTAGGTGATATGCCTCATCTCAGAATTATGCAAGATATATTACCATGTTATAAGTAAAGAAAATATAACGGATTGAATTTTTTTTTTAAAAAAATCAGTTTTGCTGCTGATGCAAGAAAGACATTTAAAAAAAAAAAATCTTGTGAAGGTATTGACACACCATTTTTTTTCTTACGGGGGGGGGGGGGCTTAAAATTCTTACAAGTAGGAAATAAAATGCAACAACAACATGTAGTTTCAAATGATCAAAATCCATATATACTATAGATTCCTTTCCATATTTTTAAAAAGATGATGATCAATCCTTGATTCTATTTCATTCGCTTTACCTGACTGTCTAATCCAACAGTAAACAATGTTAAGAAGAACAACACAGCCCAGACATTTGGCAAAGGAAGCAGCGAGAGAGCTTCTGGATAAACAAGAAAAGCCAGTCCGGGACCTGATGTGAAATCCGAAACAAAGATCTTTCTTTAGTTCATCTGTGAATATTTTGTACCTAAAGGATGCTTTTGGTGATTACTATCCAAATCAATATATCTGTGACTTTTCATGATTTATAACAAGGAAGTAAATCAAAAAAGCGAATGCATATTGTACATATGGAAACAATCACTGTGTGTGTGTGTGTGTGTGTGGGTGGGTGTGTGTGGGTGTGTGTGTGAGGGTGTATGTGTGTATGTGTGAGGGTGGGTGTGTGTGTGTGTGTGTGAGGGTGTGAGTGTGTGTGTGTGAGGGTGTGTGTGTGTGTGAAATTAGTGTTATGTGCCTACCTGCCTGTACCACTTTATCCACTGGTTTACCCGCAACATGCGCCATGTAACCAACAATGGTGAAAATGGCAAATCCTCCAAATATACTTGTTCCTTCGCTTATCATAGATAATATGATTGAATCTCTGTCATATAAAATTAATTTTAAATAATGTGCTTTTGAAATAGATGATAATTTGCTAATGAATAAGATGTATCTCCTTAAAAATTATGTCTACATACAATTAGTTATAGTTCTATTTACCTATAGCAGTTATTGTTGAATTTATTGAAGCTAGCCATGGTAAAGAGAGGTCCCCATGCGGGTCCTAGTGAATAGAAGACTTGAATTCCTGCTTCTAACCATACCTATGAAAACAAAATAATTCTCACTTTATTGAATATACATTTGTTGTCTATAAAAAGGTACAGGAATTATTCAAACGTAGGAGAATACTTACACAATATATATAATTTAGATATATGAACTGTCATAAAACTAAATCAAAACATATTCAAATTCGAGTGCATTTTAAACAATTGAAATACTACTCTATAAATTATGATTAATTAAATTTAAATTCATGTCATTATATCATATATATATAAGAAAGATAAAATAAATTTAATTATTACATTTTCAACAGTGTAATACTGTGATTTATTTATTGAATAAAAGTGATATTCTCTCACAAAGTGAAAGGATACCAAAATGATATTCTCTCACAGTGTGAAAGGATATCAAAGTAAGTAAAATATAATTTCTGGCCTGTCATAAGATAGAGATAGTAACTAAGCATCTTGATAGAGCTAAAACAGCAATTTTCTTCCCAAATATGTTGCTAAAATCCATGCTATGTAATGTTTTCAATCACACAACTGCTAAACTATGACGTCTCAACCACTCAACTATGACGTCAAGCCTATGACACTGTGTTAAGAAAAGACAGAGGCAAAGGGAAAATCAAAGAAAATGTAATAAACAGAAAATTCAATGTTTTGTAGATGAATATGGAATTTATTTCACTCGTGAGACAGGATTTTTTTATATTTTCACTCGTGCTTCGCACTCGTGAAAATATAAAAAAAATCCTGTCCCACTCGTGAGATAAATTCCATATTCATCTACAAAACATTGAATATCCTCTATTTAATCATGATGTATTGAGTATTTCAATTGTTTAAAATGCACTCAAATTTGAAAATGTTTTGATTTAGTTTTAAGACAGTTCATATATCTAAATTATAATTTTATACCTTCATTCAAGGGAATATTAATCCAGTTTTATGATATTTTTTTTTACTGTATACTTACTTGAACACTGGCAAGTTTATCAAAGTCTGGTCTGATGTAGAAAAGGATGCCATCAGTTGATCCAGGAAGCGTCAGGCCCTTGATAAGAATGACGATCAGTAACAAATAGGGAAGGGTCGCTGTGATGTAAACAACCTATAATAAGTTTTTTTCATTATTTATTTAAAAAATGTTAGCTATCAACCCGTAGGGTGTATTTTCTTTCCAGTAAAATATTGTAGTGAGAGGGTGATTAAAGATTACAATAAAAAAAAATTCATTTGTTATATGTTTCGAAGTACATAATTATCGCGTACCTTCCCAACAGATTTCACTCCTTTGATCAGACATATGCAAACCACGATCCATGCTACGAGAAAGCAGATTGTTAGGCGCCAATTTAATCCTCCAATATCGTGGAGTCCCTCTGACATACGAAGAACACGATAACTGTATAAGAAATTTTAAATAAGTTAAATTATTTGATTCATTCTATTGCATAGTCACCATTGTATGTTTTTTCTAAATATATGACGATTCTTCAAGTAAACAGCTATTCGATGCTTTATGGATCTTTAGTATAATTTTATTAAGTAACACTTGGTAGTAGTATATTGTTTTATATATTTTATTTACCCCTAGTAAATTAATCACTTTTTTCTACACACTTTGTTCTTATAGAATACTTGCAGAAATATAAGATAAATGCGGTTTCATTGTTCTTTAAAGATGAAATATGTGCAGAAAACGAACAGTATTCGAGCTCAAATGTCCGTAAACATTACAAAATAGGAGCAGAGCAAACACGGATCTCTAAGACATCGGAGGTGGGATCAGGTGCCATGGAGGAGTGAGCATCCCCTGCCGACCGGTCACATCCGCCGTGTGCTCCTTGTCATGATCGGAAAATAACGGAAAAAATCCGTCGACAATTCAGTGTATAAATAATGGCCTAACAATTAGTATGAAAAAAGTCAGTCAGCATTTGACTTACTGAAAGATTGTATTTGCTGACAAGGTCATTGTATCGACCATAGAACTTAACAAATGACGACTTTAAACGAGACTGCTGATATTCTTGTTTCATCAACTTGTTTGTCAATAACTTACCTCGTTTTAAAAATCGTTCATACGTAGAGCATGCTCTGGCGTATCGAATCAACTGAGAGATATAAACCCCGTATGCAGGCCTAGGTGATAAGGGTATATTTTTTTAATATCCACATCTGATTTACACCACTTCTCGAATATATTGTTGCACAGTACTCTTGAAGTTTCTCCTTCACTACTGTCAATATCTTAGTGAGGAGTAAAATTTGTTATAGATCATATGTGAAAGAAATCAAAAGAAAGTTTGGTGAACATATGTTTCTCATAAATGTAAGCGTTGTTTTTATAAAGTATAATGCTTTAAATTATTGAATACCGGTATTTACCTTTACATAGTGAATTCAAAATATGCAACAAGATAAAAATTGTACTTTTTTATTTGAATATTCTCATGTTTCAATTTATCCGTAATCTAAGCAGATATCGATACATAAAATTAGATTTTTAAAACTGAATTTAATAAATTTAACATAATCACTCACAACCAAAATTCCTCTTCACTTGTTGATCTAAGTATAGTTTCTTTTGTTATGTTCTCCACAAGGGAGGCAGCTCCGTTGTAGTGATACATTTTTGAATAAGTTTTTGACAAGTTAGATGTGTTATACGAGTCTTTTGTTGATCCATTAGAATCATGCTGAGAAGACATGTTTGAAATGCCATGGAAACATTCTAGAGTATTCCAATCATTTTCACAGACTGCCCATGGAAGAGGCGAGAAAAAGGAACTTCCGAGATAGAAAATGGTCCAGGTGATGATGACATTGTAGTACAGTGTGCTTACAAAGAGAACAATGAACATCCCCACTCCAAGACCTTGGTAAATAACAATCTGTCATGAGTATACCAGTATTTTTCTCAATTCGACACTAAAAGACCTATGCTTTATTCGTTAATATGTATTTGTCGATCAAATTTATGTTATAAGTCAGGGTTTATTTTATTGTGATAAAAATAGAAAAGGAATCTTTTACCTTCGAAAAAAGGACAGGCCTTCCAGACATGAAAAAAACTTCTCCCTGTAAATTGTCCAACAGAGCTTTCCAGAAAAAATAATGGAAGACCAGCAGCGAGGAGGAAAAATATAAATGGGATCAGAAAAGCACCTACAAAAGCGGATAGTTTTAATACAACTCAGGATAATTTTTTCTACAATATATAACATAAATAAGTATAGATATCTGTAAAACCATGTTATCCCTATACATCAATGTTTCTAAATAGAATTATCCATCTGAAAAAAAAATAACACTCCGAACATCCGTTATATATTTTTATGCATGCATTGTTTGAGAAGCGGTGGCGGATCGGAACATCTAATTTTAATTAGATTGACCAAAAGTGTATTCAAAGTTTGAGGTGAGAAACTCTTTAACTAAAAAATCTTCAGTACGATAACAATCGTTTTTCTAACTTACCTCCTCCATTTCTCATACAAAGATACGGAAATCTCCAGATGTTACCAAGACCAACACAATAACCCACCATAGAAAGCATATAGTCTAGCTTTGCTCCCCATCTTCCCCTTTTGTTTTCTAATTGAGCTCTCTCAGTATTTGATAATTTGTCCACATCGTCCAAGTTACTGTCTTGATTCATCTCCATTATCTGAAATATAGACTATATTTTATCAATTTTGAACATTAATAGATATATCTGAAGGATTTATTTATCTACATATTTATATTCCATTTCATGAGTAATATTTTAATTGCTTATCTACAGTTTTTTTTATGTAAAGGTCATTCTATTTTTACGACAAATCTATTCCTATATCCCGTCTTTCAATAAACATTATGTTTTTCTGTAATGTAAGCGTCTTTATTTTGACAAATAAAGGACCAGAGCCAATCAAGCTATGTATTATTTGTTAAATCAGGTACTAGTACTTGGAAACTTTTTTCAACTTTACAAATACATTCTAGAAAACAATTTTTTACCTAAAAATAAGTATCTGCATTCATAATTTCTTTCACAATGCTGGTCGATACAATGACCTTGTCAGCAAATACAATCAGTATCATTAAGTCAAATGCTGACTGACGTTTTTCATACTAATTGTTAGGCCATTATTTACACACTGAATTGTTGACGAATTTTTCCGTTATTTCCCGTTCATGACAAGGAGCACACGGCGGGTGTGACCGGTCGACAGGGGATGCTTACTCCATCATGGCACCTGATCCTACTTCTGATGTTTTTTGAGGTCCGTGTTTGCTCTGCTGTTTTAAAGGACTTTGAGCTTGAATACTCTTCGTTATCTCCACATTTCATTCAGCCATCTTCAAAAAAATATTTTACATTTTGCGTGCTAAATGACGTCGTTTTTGTGATAAGGGTTCCCCAAACACCCACAGCTTATGTTTTCATATTAATGAGCATTATTTTAATCAGGCATATCAACCTTTAAAAAATGGCCAGAAATTGAAATATAATTTACGCTGATTTTTTAAAAAAATTTAATTTCATAAGTTTCAAGATATTTTCCCCATCCTATTCAGTCTAATTGTCAGTGCACAAACTAAATAAAACCGGATGTAAAATTAATTTTATCCTCGATAAACGTCACAAGTCAGGGGGTGTGGAGGACCCTTAAACATGAAATTCTGATTAATGCAGCACAAAATTCTTTCATTTCTTTATGTGTTTTCAAAGTATTCTCAAATTTTATTTTTACAAGCACGATATGTATTTCTAATAATTTTTCTCTGGTTTTTGGATACTTCTTTACATTTTCATGATCACAGTTATTTGGGGAATGGCAATCATTTATTGTACAACCGAACATGTTCTTTAGACAACAGAGACATTGAAATTTCAGTGTGTTTTAATGACGTCAAATATGATATTTTCAAAGATCCTGATTTTTAAAAGATATAAATTTGTTTCTTTTCTCCTTAAGAATAATGTTTTATTTTTTTAAATACCTTGTATTTTGTTCTAAGAAACAAAACCTCTCACTATAAACTGTATAAATAAAAAAAGGTGAGGGTCTCGAACAGTTATCGATCTGAAAAAAACCCTACACACAATTTAAATCTGTGAATATGGCATAAAACACGGACCCCTGGAAATTCCAGAGGAGCGATCAGGTGTCGAAGAGGAGTATGCACCCCCTGTCAACCGGTCACATCCGTCGTAAGCCCTATGCATTGATGAGGTAGATGGAATATTCAAAGTTGTATTCAAATTTAGAATAAAACAAGGATCTAACAATTGGCATTGGCACCTATGAAATATGTGCCAAAAAATAACGACCCACAGATAGCTTATATTTGCTAACAAGGTCATTAAATTTACAAAATGCTGACACAAGGTTGTTGAAATCCCTGTAACATCAATTTATCTGTCAGTAACCTGCCTCGAATTAAAAATTGATCGTGTACTTAGAGCATGCCTTTGAGTATCGAATAAGTTGGAAGACATAAACACCATATGAGGGTGATAGCGGAATATTACTACATGAATAAGGAAAGTTGACGATGGAAAAGCTGGAGTCATCTCGTTTGTCATACAATTAAGTTGGCAGTTGGCCCTTATCGTCTAAAGTCAGTAAAACATTCTGCTATGAAACATATGTTGCGGACTCTGAGATATATTGATTCGACATATGAATGAGAATAACTATTATTAATAACTATTATTAATTGATAAAATGTCGATATATCGAGTTGAAGGCCAAAGCAAGTGTTTCTACTCAGAAATTTTTGAATAAAATCCACTTCACAGGAATATAAAAAAGGTCGGCTAATAAACGATAAACAATTAATGCCCATCGGAAATCCAAGAGGTTGTTGAAAGACTAGGTCACCAAAGACTAGATAGATATTATCAATGAGGAACTCCAGTATACTTTTAATATCAACATCAGAGTACTTATTTGTAGAATTAGAGTGACCTTCAACAAAATAATTTTGTAGATGACCAAACACAAGCTATGAAATTTAGAAGTTCCATTTTAATTGAAGAAGCAGTTATCTATGTTATGTTATCTATGTTATCAAAAATTGTGAGGAATGTTATATGAAGTTGAGAAAAGTCATACATTTTGATGTTACTGGCTTTTGAAATGTTATGCGATTTTAAATTATCTAAAATTCTTTGGAATTTTTGAGAATCCAAATATGCTTTACACCATTTTTAGAATATGCATCAGCACAGTATGTCTGAAGTTTCTCCTTTACAGCCGTTAAAAATGTTTGTGAGGAATAAGTATAGTAGCTTTGTAGAGCATTTTCTAAACCCGGCAATGTATCTTTCTAAGGGTTTTTATGAAGTTTGGGAATCCACTACAGGTAGGGTAGAGCGAACTCACCTTTGTTGACTGGAATGTTAAAAGTATTAAAGACTGAAATTTGATTTTTGAGAATTTCATCATTAGAAAGTGAGCTATGAGTATAGGTTGGATAAGTGTAAGATGATAAGCCGCCACATTGGAAAGGAGAGTACTTCCCATATAAGAACAGACTATAACCAGTAATTCGGCGTACAGACCAGAGTATAAGCTCCCTACAACATGCATGAAATAGTATTTTCAACATTCTTAAATATATCAATATTTTTCAAAAATCAAATGCAAAATTATATTGATAAAAGGAAAATGAGCTACAAAATACATATGATCATCAGGATGGATTTCAGCATATCAAGAAAATTAGATGATACAAATACATTCTGCCCCTGAGTACTTGAACTTTTGTCTACACAGGTCTTTGAGCTACAATTTAGAATTATATACTAGAAAGGAGGAAAGGTTTAAAAAAAGAAGAAGAAGAAGCATTTTATTTTTTGTACGAACTTTATTTTTTGCCTATATTTTAATGAAGAGATATCAAATTGTTTTCTGAGTTTAAACAGACTGAAACAGGTTCCTGTATGAATACACTGAGTGGACTGGCGACATAACTAAAGTACCCTATCAACAATTAAATACTAGTTGTATTTATGTCACATTGACACAAACCTTTATAGAGTTGTATTAATTTTAGGTAACACTGACACATTTCTTTATAATTGTACTTATATCACACTGGCACACTTCTGTATAGAGTTGTTCTTATGTCACAGTGACTCACTTCTTTATATTTATGTCACATTGACACATTTGTTTACAGAGTTGTATGTATGTCACACTGACATATTTCTTTATAGACTTATATTAATGTCTCACTGACACACTTCTTTAAAGAGTTGACTTATGTCACACTGACACATTTCTTTAGTGTTGTACTTATGTCACACCGACACACTTCTTTAAAGAGTTGTACTTATGTCACACCGACACACTTCATTAAAGAGTTGTACTTATGTCACACCGAGACATTTCTTTATAGAGTTGTACTTATGTCACACTGACACAATTCTTTCTAGAGAGTTGTACTTATGTTACACTGACGCACTTCTTTGAATATTTTGCCACACTGACGCATTTCTTTATAGAGATGTACGTATATTATGTCACACTGACACATGTCTTTATGTAGTTGTACTTATGTCACACTGGCTCAATTGTTTATAGAGTTGTTCTTACCTCACACTGACACAATTCTGTAGAGTTGTATTTATTTTATACCGACACACGTTTTATGTATGTTTGATAGTAAACTGTACGATGTTTTTAACAAAGTAGAAACTACAGTAAATGGGGGGGAAATATGCATATTATTTGCATATCGTGTTATTTGACTAATTATGATCCAGTTGGTTTTGAGAATAGTTTAAAGATTATTTGCAATCATTCTTGTATGCTATGATTGCAAAAATATTATCTACGCAATATATGAATTTCATCATCTTAATTTGATCGAGTGATGCAGGATTTGTTTTCTTTGTTGAGTGGACGCTAAATAAACACACGATTGGCAAACACTGAACGCTTTGAAAACGATGATAGCGAGCGGTTGGGGAACGATGAACGCAAAACTAAACGATGAGCTCACGATGAACGCATGCTGAGCAAACTAGGAGCGAACGGCAAATGGGTACTTAGAACTAGAACTGTAGTTATTGAATGCAAACTTAACTAATTAAGAGGTGATCATATTTTATTGCCTTTCGCAATGCTTCTTGTTCACTTTTCAATTGATCAATCATATAACAACATCTAGAAGCTTGCTTGGCTCCAGGTGTGCATATGCGATTGTGCTACTCAGTTGATTATGAAGATAACAAAAAAAATTTAAGAGCGTTATTCTTTGTATGTTTACAATATAAGAAGAATTATGAAAGCTTATCAAATCATGGATTTTTTGTTTGTTAATCTTGACTGGTGTAATCTTTAGAAACATTTGAACACCTCTATAGCAGTCCAAAACGTTTTCAAATGACCAAGATCCAATTCAACATAAATCAGTTAAATGTGAATTAAATACTGATTTTACATTTATTTTTTTTATGAGATTTCAAATATACACTATTGAAAAATAAATTCGTGTATTATTGCATCATACAGGCCTCAAAGGTTTTTGCAGAGAGCAGATTCAATTTTCCGTATTACGATTACTATAAAATCGACAAATTAAACATAAATTTCTATTATCAAAGGACATTTATCAACAGACATGCAACTTATCAACTGAATCACTGAAGTATCAGAGAATGGCTATAGTTTACCTTCCATACAGTTTCAACTGCCCAATGACATGTAACACACAGGTAAGTAGATAAACTATGTAAAGGAAGGACACGATACAATCGATACTCCAAGCATAAACGAAATCAGTATGATAAAAAGTATATAAGAAACAACGATTGACAAACTGGACGTGTTAATTGATAATACTACTAACATTTGGTAAGAGGATACAGATGTTTCGTAATTGTATATAATCTACATCGTGCTTATTAAGAAAATTAACAATGAAATAAAGTGTATTTCTTTTCTATACTTGCACACATAATTTTTGCATCTGAATGTCAACTTATATAACAGCGTCAGCTGAATACAATGTGCAAGCCCAAAAAAAAAAACATCATTCACCGGGTTGGGGCTATCTTACCACAATCACACATTTCCTTAGTTAAATTGATAGATGTCTTCCAATCAGTATTTCAATTTCAATGTCACGTGACAAGCTCTTTTCCACTAAAAAACATTCTATGCATTTAAATTCATATATGCAGTAAATCTATTAAGTTTGAATTGCCAAGTAAAGGCATAAATTATATTGGAACCCAGAAATGAATCTCCAAATCTCAATACATGTATTTTTTTCCTATATCGACTGAAAACTTTATTCGTTTTCGAATTGAGAAGAATTGAGCACACTACGTAGGTTAACCTGATAAAATTTATCATAAATTCTTATGAATATCACGTCAAATCGTTTTCTCGGGAGATTTGTTATGCTGTAAAGCATGGAGCTAACTTAACATTGCAGTTTTTTTAGCTCGTAATACCTTGCTTGTTTGAAATTCTAATCATATGCTTTTTCTACAGGTAAATACATTGAAATAGGCTGTTTTATTATCGACCTAAAATTACAAATTCTTTCAAAAATATTTGCAAGGAACTACACATTGATATATTTACATTTCTAACTGTTTTCTCTGTGATAACTCTTCAAAAGTTAAGCGTATCGATTCCTCGATATTTACAACTGAATGTAAATTTCGCCAAGTGAAAGGTCAAGTGCTGAATATGCATGTCAATTTTTCGCGGCTGTCATTTTGTCTAAGACGGGTACCATGGAAAGTTTTGAGGAATGACTCGTGTTCCTGTACGTATTTCATATCTTTATATTTTTATTCACATATAAATGTAAACACAAGGAATCACTGTCTAGTTTGCCGGGTATCCATGACCATTAACGCCAGTTGGAATGTGGGATAATTTATGCATAATGGGCTTCTCCTATTATGCGAATTATCCCCGTTTCTAACTGTCGTTAATGCCCTGGCATATCCACAAACTAGGCAATGATTCCTTAAACATACATATATAATTTTGCATTTCATCTATAAACAATATATTTGATGCAGTAGTAATAATTCGTCCTGAAGGGTGGATGATACAAACAAAACATGGATATTAAAATAGGTACAAATTCAAAAAGAATTTCAAAATTTCTAAAATCTCTTATTAAAAAATTGTCAACTTTCTATAATGCTCAAAATTCTACCTTTCTGAAATTAACCTTATAAATCTATTTAATTTTTTATCAGTTTATAGGACATTTTTCGTGAAATAATTGAATGAAAAATTATTTGCGGTTAAACTTATTCATTTTACTTACATACAAATGACAAAAATTGTCATTTTTATGGTTTTAAAAAGTTTGTTTTTATCATCTGTCCTTCGGATAAAAAACATGTTTACTTTTCTCCATTTTATTTTGTATATTTTTGCGTAATAAATAAAAGCTAACTAAAATCTGTAAATTCCTGAAGTCACCAGAAAGTGAGGTCCAATGAAAGAAGTCGAAAACAAGATAAGAGTTACAACATCTCTAGATAATGCATGACATAAAATCACGTGTATATGACATTACAACCTTATCCATGTAATATTTGTCAAAAGGGCTAGGATATCATTTTCGATCAATGTGAAAAAATGAATAATTTTTGATGAGACAGTTTATGAAATATTTAAAAAGTTGTCCGGAATTAGATTAGTTCTTTTAAAAAGGGATCTAGATTGACAAGTCTAAAATGCAATTAATTTGTGTTCATTGACATTAAATTGGTTTTTATGAGGAACTTTTTAGTATTAAAATCAAAACTTATGACGTATTTTGAATGTAAAACTGTTTGCAGGAAAGGGAACAAATCTGTCTTAGGTTTCTAGACAGATATCTGACACTGTTTCTTGGTCGTCTAAGCTTTTTTTTCCACAAATGTTTCTGAGTATGGTGGATTTAAAGTCTCCAGATCTGTTTTCAATCTTATATTTTTCACACTCAAAATTAGAAACTGGTCTCCATCGCTCTGAAGGTTTCAAAGATGAACATAGTTTCTGAAAAAATAGAAAAAAGTGTCAATAAATTACAAATCGTAAAAGTTGATCAAATCATAACTTAATTTCTTCATGGTTTAAGTACAGCTTGTGAGATATTTTTAAGGTTACAACTTGACGATCTACTAGAACGTTTTAATTATCTATCCATCTTCTCTTCTATTTAGAAACTTTGGAACACTTCTATAACAATCCCTAAACGCAGTAAAATACCCAAGACTTTGATTATCCTGAATCAGTCGAATGTTGATTGAACACTGATTGCACATTTAATATTCTATAAGAGAGTTTCAAGCATATTCTGTAGAAACCAGGACTTGTATTATAGAAGACTACTCCGTAAAAGTATTATTTCTAAAGGTTTTATCGTGGAGGGTCCTTAATCATTGGTATTCCCAAATTGGTGGCATTTCAAACCAAGAAATTTATGCATTTTTGTGTAGCCTGCAGAGCAGAGCGACGCTTAGGAATCACTTTATCCGGCGTCTTTGTATGTCCGTTTGTCTGTCTGTCTGTCTGTCAGTCAAACCTTATATCTCAAGAACTGTAATAGGTATGGATTTAATACTTTGCACATATATTGCTTGGCACATTGATTTCTTATAAACTAGCATGGTTACCGACCTCATCACCTTTGAACTAGACCTTTGACTTACTTTTCAAATTACTTCAGAGTGCCGATATACAGCATATTTTTTTACTTTTAAGTGGTAAGTTTATGCTGTTTGGCATATGCATTGTTTGTCATAAAATATTTTTTAAAAATATTAGCGTTACAGGCCACTTGACCTCGACCTTTGATCTGCTTTGCAAAAAATACTCCGGACGGTGTAATTTAACTGATGTCTTAGTTTTAAGAGGAAGAGTTTTGATAATTAGTATTTATATGTGCTTTTGAGCTCATGACTCTGTACTTTAAAACTGTAAAATATACAGTTACCACATAAACTATGAAAATGCATTGAGTCAGTATATCAAAAGGAATCCTTAAGACTAACAATTGCAGTAAAGACAAACTGAAATCCTTTTGGAGGATTGTTGGAAAGAAGTATTAATAGAATGATTAATAATTATTTCTAATAATTTCAATTTCATACTTCATTTTTAAGCTTTGAGGGCTGGGGAGTATTATTTGTATTTGATTGTAAGATTTTGTCGCAGTCCTACTATCTGCGTACCTTTCTTTGCAGGCCAATGGATGAACAATAATGCTAGTAGCAAATAAATAACTGACCACTCCTCGATTTATTTACATTTTTATAAAGCTATATAGCAGCGACACATGCGTTCTTTGGAACACTCTAGTGTTAAATATATCATATTGCTTGTTAATATGGTGGTTAACAGTAAATAATAAAATAAAACTTTGAAAATTCCAAAGAAAACAATTATATTCGACATTGTTTTAAAAAATTAGAAAAATATGCTATAATTTTTGTAAGGTTATATATTTTAAGTGAAAAAATATTTAAATTAGAATTCCTTAGCAGTATGCAATCAAAAACAAAATCTGCACAAAAGTTTATCATCTATAATTTAAACAAAATGTGACTGTTGTTTAATGTTCAACCATTAGTAAAACTACAGGGGACACCAAAAGGTATATGTCTATTTTGCGTTCCGTGAGTATTTTTTAAAAGGCCACTTACATTTAGATGGTAAATAAATTGACAATAAATACACACTTATAGATTAAATGTACGTTTAAAAGTTTTTGAAAAGGTTTAAAAGAGAAATGTTTTATCAGTAAGCATTTCTGACCAGAACAGGTGTTTGTCACATGAGCCCAGTGTAGTCATTAAGTGTGACCGTTACACCATTTAAATTTTACTCCAAGGAATACGTTATCATAAGAATGATCATTTTTTCATCAAATATGAAAGTTATCCAAAAAAATTGTAGACAGTGTCTACAACTTTGTAAATATTCATCAATAGAAGTCAAATTTTACATGAGTATCATTTATTCGATGTTTCTCAAAATTATGGTTTTGAAATATATTTCTGTCAAAACAATAAAATAAAACCGATAAATAACAAGGTCGATATGGTCTGTTCGTGCAAAATCAAAATCAGGGATAATTTATGTCTATAACCATCAAATGCGTTCCTTTTTCTAATAATATGGCAACATTAAATTAAGATTAAGAAAAAAGTTCGCGTAATATGTCATTTTAACATAAATGAATTCATAGACAGAGGAGTGGAGACGTACCCTGAATTGAGTTTGCCGCAAATGGCATGGAGAAAAAACATTCCTAGCTCATAGAGATATGCTGAAATACATGTACCTCTATTTTGTTGAATGTGGAAAAAAGATATAGAAATGACTACAACACAGAGAAACGTTAGAGGAGCAGTTGTATATAAATAACATAAGATATTCAAGAACAATTTGACCTTGAGGATATATATAATATACACAAATATTTAATGAATTCATATATATTTTTGACTGATTTTGAGAAGAAATGACATAAGTAAATTTATAGAAAAATCGTAAATTTTCTTTGGTTTTTAAATATGCGACGTTTTCAATGTTAATCTATACAAAATTCTGCACACATTTTTAACATTATTTTAAAATCTTAGAAAAGGTTTACACTTACCCTGGCAAACATTATTCAGGGTACCTACATGAACATAAATCTATGTGATATATTGTTGATTTTTCAATACCGAAAAAGCAATACCGAAGAGGAAGAGTAACTACTGTCAAATTCAGAGGGTGAGAAAGACTATGGATCGAAATCAAACTTTGCGTGTTTTTTCTTACTGAAGGTCACCTTGCGAGAACTGAAATTTGAATCTGATGACGAAATTAGACAAACAATGATGAATTTCAATTCGTCCCTGGATGGTTTGCCAGTATACGTGACAAAAGGGTGCGACGGCGCGAGAAGTGTGTTTTGAAAATCATGACGTTACTAAAATCATAAATTACGATAAGTTGCTTTCGCTTATATGCTTCCTTTATTTTTACATAAAATGTGTTATTATGAAACTTGAAATTGAAGATTGTTAAAGATTTCTTTTTTCACTTCTTGCTTATTTCCAACGAAATACCTTCCCCGGGGGACATTATTCAAACTTCAATGACCATAGAACATATTTTTAAAGCAGAGAAAATACTTTAATCGGAACTGTTGATATCAGATCTAAATTGGCAATATAAATACATTTCTCTTTAAAAAAAAAATACTTTTTTTTCAACAAATATATCATTTGTTATATTCATTTGAAAAAGGATAAATTTTAAAAGATAAACACTAATAATTTAAGAGTTTAATCACTAAAGTAATAGCGAATAACTATAGTTTACCTTCCATACAGTATCACCTTTAGACCGTCTTATGGCTCTTATCGCACAGATGGGTAGAGGTACTATAGGAAGGAAGGCCACGATCCAACCAATAGCCCGACCGTACGCCGGATACGTGTAAGAACCAACCATTGGCGGTCGGTACGTGTTTATAGAAAATGCTAATAGCATCTGTTAAAGATACAGATGTTGTTTCAATCTTACAGTTATATTCAATATATTGAATTTTAGGAAAATAAACGATTAAATAAAGTGCATTTTATATATATATATATATATATATATATATATATATATATATATATATATATATATATATATATATATATATATATATATATATATATATATATATATATTTGTAGAAATGGTTTAAACATCTTAATGTCAAGTTGCAGAATCAGTCAAGTGCAATGTGTAAGACTGTATTTTAGCAGGGAAAACGCACCACTAAAAGGAGGGGTGTAATCACACACCACAAAATCCTCATATAAATAGGTACACCTCTTCCAATCATCATTTCAATGTCACGTGACAAGTTATCTGCCCCTAAAAGTTAAATCCAAAATTATATATATATATATATATATATATATATATATATATATATATATATTGCTGATTTCCGAACGAGTTTTCTCAACACCGAAAAAGGAATACCGATATATTTTCATCAAAAATAAAAACTGTAAAGTTTGAATTGCCAATCATACACGTAAATTGTATGGAAACTTATAAATGAAGGGCTCCGAATCGCAAGGATATATAATTTTTCTATAATAATCAACTATATACATTTAATTGTAATATTACTTTGAATTCATTAGCAAAAGTAAACCCATTGTTTTAACGCAGATCAAATGTGCAATTTTATACATTTATCGACCGATTTTCAACACTCACAAAGATGGAAGGGAGTTGTATTCTCAACATTGTTTGAAGTACTATCAAGTCTCAAACCCCACATTGAAATATGGGTGGATTACCTCTGTGCCATTCCATATATATTTGCTTTTATAATAGTTTAGCAAACAATTACCATAAATCCAGCCAAAAATTAAACATTCAATCACTCCAAAGAGAGGTAAACAAAAGGCTGCAATGTACCAGTCTAACAGCTGAAATATGTAGATCCCACACTAAAAGAAAACAGAATGACACAGTTATTATAATTTATCTGCATCACAAATATAGAAAATTTGTAAGGCTGCTTATACAAAAAATCGAGCATAGGTAATTTCATTACGTAGTAAACATTTTTACATGTTTTATTGAGGTTTCCATCAGAAATAACCTTATTTATACTACTAATCACTACCTATCATACTTACCTTGACGCGTTTGGTTTTTATTCCAACCACATGAATCAGTATACGTATTAAGTATCCTTACCCCAGTGCATAGGAGCAATCCAACGAGAAAGAAAAACACACAAGAAATCATTGACATCAGGGCCTTGTGGTTCCGTATACGAGGAAAAATATCACTGACAGCCGTCAAGCAGGTTTCAAGGGTCGCAAACTGTTAAATTAATTAAGAATACAATTAAAACACTTTACACTTGAGAAAAAAGTAAGCTTTTGTGTTTATAAAAAAATATACAAAAGTATTCGTGTACGAGGGTTGTTCCAAAAGCATTGTTGCAACTCCTGAAAAATCTTTAACGATATTATATTTACACTCCACATGTATTTTTTTATAAAGTGTGAGAAAAACTACGGCATTCAAGACACCATAACACAGAAAAGGTTAAAGTATGCGTTTTATTTTGACGTCACAAACTTTGAACGCCGTGGAAGTGCAGCGTCATAAGCAAAATTCAAAATTCACGTTCACATTGAATAGAAGCTCTTACATATGTACAATGTCTCTTCCGATAATTGTAACTTACCCGAAGGATAATACAGGGATTTTGATAATAACTTTTGCAGTCAAGGCAAGGAGTTAAAAATGTAATTATAAGCATTGAATCATAATAATTTTGAAAGATATAGTCTCATAATTGCAACGGTGTGTGCAAACAATTTTTCATAACGCGCTAATTACTGAATTTGTTTGCACACACCGTTGCAGTGCAAGAATGTTACCGACATCGTTATGACGTTACTATTCGGCTCAAATTCTTAGGTCATCCATAAACCCCTTTAATATTTCATATTTACGTTTTATTTTATGTACATTCCCAACTTGTACTAGAGTGTCTAGTTTTGAACAATTAAAAATATTTTAACTTTACATAGTGCATCTGCATATCCATTCCGCCGTGGGTAAGAGTAGAACGGGCATAGCGGCAGTTTCAAGTAAGTAATGTGAAAGGCTAATCTTCCACGCACGTTCTTCTTCCAGCCATCTGTCCATCCTATGACTTCCATTCACATTATGCAACTTTCGTATCTTTATACCGTTAATTATTTCCCTTATTAGTTGTCAATGTTTGGGACGTCAAGTACGGCGTTAGGTCAGGTTATCAACCTTTTCAATATTTGAACTGAGGAAGAAGAAAGTGAGTAGATGATCAGTCAACCCTTACTCTTGAAGCTACGATATATAAGATCTAAGCAAAAGGAATAAATACAGAAAAAAATGGACAAATTTTAAAAATTTGAAACCTGCAACCCAAAACAAGATGCTTTATATCAAAGTTGCAGTAAAGATTATTTTAGGAATGACTCTAATTCTTGGCCATATTATTCGAGTATAACCTGGTTTGGATCAGTTTACGTTTTATAATCCGCGAAGCGGATTATAAAACAGCGTAAACTGACCCAAACCAGGTTATACTCGAATAATTTGGCCAAGAAGTAGAGTCATTCCTTATAATTTAATTTTAAAATCATTAAATAACTATGGGCGTAAAATTTCCTTGCTTTTTATTAGTTCAAATTTGCCGCTCAATAATACAACAGTAGTAACGGAAGTGATGGGAAGCAAGGGGAGGTAAAAACTGATACATAGGCCTAGCAGCCTTGTTGTTTTTTTTTACATGTGGTAAGATCGAATTATTGTTTGAAGTTAAAGGTACATTTATTAAATCTGGAATTTTCCATGAATCCCGAGGACTGGAAATGAGAGGATTGTATGGTTACAGATGATTCAGCTGGTTGTCAGGGGGGGGGGGGTGTCCCCATACCGAACATGGTTATACAGAAATAATTTGTGTTCCTTTTTGGATATTAACCAGTCAGAGGCTAGAATACAAACAAAATTAAATTATTAAACAGAAGCGCGTTAAAGGTTTTAAAGATTTGCGGATAAAAGGAAAATGAGTATCGAAAATTAACGTCATAACGACGTCGGTTATGTTTTTGCCTAACTTAGTTTTATTTAAATATTTTAAAAAGTATTGAAATAACTACTGATAAATGAGATTTTCAAAAGTAAAAATAGTTATTGCCTATTAGTATATGAAATTTTTCCGGTGATATCCGGGTATTAAAGATTTTAAAGCAGTTGTGACATTATTTTTTGGACCAACCTTCGAAAAATACTAATAGACGGTAAGATCATTTGAATATACATGTATATATATATATTTTTTTAAAAAACAATGACTGTACGGCAGGAACAAATTGCCTTGCTGAAACATCATCAAAAAAGATCCACCTATTTTTGTTTATATGTCTTTTCTAAGAATGATGCAAGATATATCAAAATAAATATTATTTTTTTAAAAAGAAACAAAGAAAATATTAAATTTGCTGTGAATGCATCAGAGACAGTTTTAACTTTTGACGATGGTGAAGCACAATAATATTGTTTTCAATAAAACAAAGTCTCTGGAAATACCTGTATCACAAAAACAATAAATTTAAATCCACATTTCGCTTATATAAGGGAAATATCTGTGGAATGAAATTTTTCAAATTAAGATATTGTTAAGAACAAAAGTAGTTAAAAAGCTAAAAAAAAAAAAATCAATGCCATATATCTTTATATCAATTTATAATTATCTTTAAGGAATAATATGTGCCTATTCATAATTTCGAAAAGGATGATATAGCTCTTGATTTTATTTGATATAATTACCTGACTGTCTAATCCAACAGTAAACAATGTTAAGAAGAACAACACAGCCCAGACATTTGGTAAAGGAAGCAGCGAGAGAGCCTCTGGATAAACAAGAAAAGCCAGCCCGGGACCTGATATGAAATCCAAAAAAATCTTTTAATTTGTGCCACAAATTTTGGGTCTGGCAACTTTATTCAAGTAATACATTTAGTGATTATTCTCCATTGCAATACATCGGTGATTTTCCATGTATTGAATAGAGAAAACATATTCTACTTTATAGAAAGAAATCAATGGTTTAAATATCAGATATGCTTTTCTTTTGGACCACAGGATTTGTCATTTGAATGACATTTGTACTGTATGAGCAAGCGATTTCATTTTGCACTTTTTCGCATATTTTTTCTGGTTTTAATACATTTGTATTTGTATTTGCTTGTGCTGGTACTTCTATTTATTTTGCTTCGCTCAATCGATCGATCGATCGATAGATAGATAGATAGATAGATAGATAGATAGATACGTGTGTTTCGTGCCTACCTGCCTGTACCACTTTATCCACTGGTTTACCCGCAACATGCGCCATGTAACCAACAATGGTGAAAATGGCAAAACCTCCAAATATACTTGTTCCTTCACTCACCAGAGTTAAAATGACCGAATCTCTATCATGTGAATTTATCTTGAGTTAATATAAATATATTTTTTATATTTTTGAAATAGATGAACATTTTTAATGAATGAGATATATCTTGTATAATCATGTCTATGAACATTTCATTTTATTATACGTCATGTAAATACGTCTTATCCGATTGGTCGAGAGACGTGTGAAAACATTATATTACCATCTGAGAACAGAAGCAATGCCCTTATAGGGGTTAAATAATCTAGCAACCAGAATCATTACCTGACAAGGGGTGATGCTATGAAATTTATCACGTGCCTGAAATATTCACCGTAGATATTTATGAAACATTGTTTCGAGTGTATTAAAATACCCGATCTATATTGCATTGTTGTGGCACGGTTGACAATGGTTTTCTCGAGATATATAATATTTACTCTTCCCTTAAACTACATGTTTTATTGACCTATAGCAGTTATTGTTGAATTTATTGTAGCTAGCCATGGTAAAGAGAGGTCCCCATGCGGGCCCCAGTGAATAGAAGACTTGAATTCCGGCCTCTAACCATACCTATGAAAAAAAATCACAATATTACTAAAGAGTTGATGACAATGAACTAATCATTGTTACAAGAGTTATATAAAAAAAATGACAAAAATACAAAAAAAAAATACGAAAAATACAAAAAAAGAAGAATAAAATACTTATTCTTATGATTAAAATTACTTTGCATTATCTTGTATAGCAAATAAAAAATATTTGCAATAAATTTTAATACTTGTTGAATGTAGCAAATAGGTAGATTTAAAGAAATTAATTAGATCTGAAGTATACATATCGTATTTCTTTCTCTCGTTTGAAATATTACACATAATTATTTACGCAAGAACTTGGGGGAAATTCTCTTTAATCATACATTGAGCAGATTTAATTAAGAATTTAGTCAAAATGTTGATTTGCGTCAAAAGAAATCTACAAAAAATATTGTCAAGGATTAATTTATCAATAATAATTTTGTTTAAAATACACTAGAAATTTAAGATTCTTTATCTAATATCTTTAATTATTCTCTATTTCTTCTTTTTAAAAGAGAAACCCAATTCTATGATATTTTTTTTTACTATATACTTACTTGAACACTGGCAAGTTTATCAAAGTCTGGTCTGATGTAGAAAAGGATGCCATCAGTTGATCCAGGAAGCGTCAGGCCCTTGATAAGAATGACGATCAGTAACAAATAGGGAAGGGTCGCTGTGATGTAAACAACCTATAATAAAGTTTTTGTCATTATTCATTTAAAAAATATTAGCTATCAACCCGAAGGATGTCTCCTCTTTCCGGTAAAATATTGCAATTAGGATATTGTATTTGAATAGTGATTAAACGTTTACAATAAATGAATAACAATTATTCTTATTTATTTGTCTTAAAGTACCTTTCCAAGAGATTTAACACCTTTTATCAGACACAAGCAAACCACAATCCATGCTACGAGGAAGCAGATTGTAAGTCGCCAGTTTAAACCACCAATATCATGGAGTCCCTCCGACACAACAAGAACACGATTACTGCAAATTAAAGTTTTAAACTGAATTTATTTTGATTTATTTTGTTGCATATAGTCTTTATTTGATGTTTATATGTTTAAATTTTATAACATATGATAAATTTGCTTACATTAGATTATATATATATATATATATATATATATATATATATATATATATATATATATATATATATATATATATATATATATATATAAGGGATGTCAAATCGGTCAATATTTAACAATCGGTTACTCGGACGTTTTTCCGACCGAGTACCCGGGTACTCGGTAAAAATGAAAAAAAAAAGTGTGCTCTTGAGCCCCGTTAAGCTCTGATAAACCCCAAGGTTGTTTTTATCACGTTTATTAATGTATATAAAGATCGATTCCAACGGAAATGGTTTTTGTTACTAGATTTATTTATCAAATAATCACAAAATACAAATTTATACATCGAAAATTACAAATGTTTTACAGTTCTTGTTTAGGATCTACTAGTATTTGATCAATGCAAAATAAGGACAATCTGTTGCGCAGGTTTGATGATCAGACTAGCGAAAGAGAAGGAACGGAATTTGTTGGGATCGCTAGTCTAATATTATTTCATATGTTGGTTGTTTCCCCCGTATACACTAAACTTGCGACGCGAACTGACTCAACATTTTCTGATTCTTTAGTTATTTCTAAATATTTCTTCACTTTTGAAGTGGGTAGCGGCATTTCTATGCATGTCCGATTTCACTGCCGTATATTAGCTAAATAATTTTAAAAGATTTAAAGATAATATCATAGACCATACTTAAATGATGTTCACTGAAAACAATCATTGAAGCCATCCAAAAAATGACCACAATACGTGAGAACAGCTGTGTACGAAATGATTGGTCACTAATTACTGTATATACACAGGCGATATAACGGGTGTTTTACGGGGGTTTGCCAAACGGAGATCAGACTATAATTGCTATCAAAACATATTTCACACCTATTGTTCCATACCTAATTATTGAATGTGTGCAAAACGGGAACACACCTTTTACGGGTGTAGATGACGACACGCTAATTACCGTATGCATATTTAAGTTATTTTTTGATAAGTTTTTGAAAAAAATATGTAGTTTGAAATAAGAAAAAATATACATCCGAGTAACCGAGTACCATTTTTAGTATTCGATACTCGGACGTTCGATCGAGTACCCGGTTAACCGGGTACTCGTTGACATCCCTAATATATATATATATATATATATATATATATATATATATATATATATATATATATATATATATATATATATATATATATATATATATATATATATATCAATGGTAATTTATTTGAAAATTCTCAAGACATATCTTTGTATTACATTATATTTTACAACGATTGTTTCTCATTTTAACTCACAACCAAAATTCCTCTTCACTTGTTGAACCAAGCGTAGTTTCTTTTGTCATATTCTCCACAATAGGGACAGTTAGGTTATTGTGATAAGTGATGGAATAAGTCATTGTTGAGAAGACTGACGTGTTATACAAGTCGTCCATTGTTTCATTAGCACCATGCTCTGAGGTCATTTTTGAAACGTCATGGAAACATTTCAGAGTATTCCAATCGTTTTCACAATCCGCCCATGGAAGAGGCGAGAAAAAGGAACTTCCGAGATAGAAGATGGTCCAGGTGATGATGATGTTGTAGTAAAGTGTAATTACAAAGAGGACAATGAACATTCCAACTCCAACTCCTTTGTAAATAACAAGTCAGCATAAGTAAATTCTTATCAGAATTGCTCTATGACACCTAGAACTGAAGCTAAACATAACTTGCAAGCCCTTAGGAAGCAATTTCAGTTTTGGGGCACAACCAAACATTTTAAGTTGGGCGCACTACCAAGTAAAAATTCTTTTGCAAGCAGAAAAAGGTCATCATAAGTTATTACTGAGGGGGCATAAGCATAAAATAGCTATGTTTTCTATAGTTTACTATATATCGCAAAAATATTGGGGGCATGGCTCGTTCCCCTACCCCTCCCCCCGCCAGTTCCTATGACCACTACAAATCAATATGTATTCGTTGCCAAAATTAATAAGGTATATTTGGGTTTTTTCTTACTTTATCTTGATTTTAAAAAATAGAATTTCAGTCAAAATTCACCTTCGAAAATCGGACAAGCCTCCCATACATGAAAACAGCTCTTTCCTGTAAATTGTCCAACAGAGACCTCCAGAAAATATAATGGAAGACCGGCAGCCAGGAGGAAAAATATAAATGGAATTAGAAAAGCACCTACAAAAACACAGATAGTTCAGTTATGATTATGGATGATATCATCAGAATTAATTGCATTTCATTTTTCCAGCTCTTTAAAGTTTTTTTTCTATTTAAACATTTCGGATTTCGAACGTTTCAGAATGAGCATCACTGAAGAGACATACATATTGGTATCAGAGCAAACACGTACCAAGTATGCCTTCTCTCCGAATGATAGAAGGGAAAGCAATAAACATTGTATACATTGATGCAACGCTAAGCCTTATAAAAAGGCTTCATAAAGAAAGCATAGGTGCCTGTGTACATGACCTCCATCCCTTCTCCATATTTGCACCCTGGCCACATGGATTTTGTTTGATTTGTTTTGTATTTTTTTAAAGAATTTTTTTAAAGGATATATTTAAAATTTATTTTTAAAAATCATACTCTACGTCAATTTGTTGTTTTTTTTTAAATCAATAAACATATTAAATGTCTCTGGGCGGGAGTGTACATATTGAGTGGCTAGGTTCTTGTCCATTGGCACCCATGAAAGATAAGTCACTCTTCTAACTCACCTCCTCCATTTCTCATACAAAGATACGGAAATCTCCAGATGTTACCAAGACCAACACAATAACCAACCATAGAAAGCATATAATCTAGCTTTGCTCCCCATCTTCCTCTCTTGTTTTCTGACTGACCTTTCTCTGTATTTGAATTGTCTGCCTTGTCCATTATCTGAAAGATCGGGCTACATTTGATCACTTTATATAAAACACATGAAACATAAGATTTCTTGTGTAAAGATATTTTTTCAACATCATTACTGATACAAGAACGTTGCATATAGAATCTACGTAAACTTTAATAAATAGTAAACATAAAAATTTGCCTTCAGATTGAAGACAGAGGAATATATGAGGGCTGTCCATAAAGTTTATAGACAAATGCTATAATTTTCTTGATAATGATCAAACTGACAGATGTGTACGACATTATTTTAATATAGACCACGATTTTGTAAAAACATCAAAATTAAATCAATATACACTATCTTACGAAAGTTATAGGTGCATGTAAACAGATTAAATATGCAAGCTGCACGATCCAGTCTGACGCTAAGCAAATTTCATGATATATAACGTCAAAAATGTAGATTTTAAATATTTATCACTTATTCGTGGAGACACATCATATCTTTATTATGCCACACTGTTAATTGTGTGCGATAATATCTACATATCGACAATAACTGAGTATTTTTCATGCCCCCGTAATGGAAGATCTTTGTCTTGGTACCAAATACTTGACCGAATTTTTGAACGATTTGTGATAGGGATTTCATACTTCACTCATTTATTCCTTGTGAGAAGACATTTCCTTGGGTACAAATATTTTTTTTACCTTTTGACCTTGGAGTTTGACCCACTTTTAAAAAACTTAAAACTTGGCCAAAACTTTTGAACGGTGAGTGCTGGGTATTTCATAGTTGTATTTCTTGTGATAAGACCTTCTTTTGGGTACCAACAATTTTGACCTTATGACCTTGACCTTGGAGTTTGGCCTACTTTTGAAAAACTTTAACCTTCTACGATACTGAAATTTCGTTCGTCTTATGTAAAAAATAAAATCGAGAAAAACGAAGTAACCTTAAAATTACATCGAATCAAATGTCAGGTACTTTTTCATGTTATGTTTATATTTAGCAAACAGTTTCTACTTTAAATTTATGGCCGTGGGAACCAGGGCACGGAGAGGGGGGCGTCTCCTCCCCCGAATAATTTTGCCGATATAGAATACTATAGAAATCATTGCTATTATATGCTTGTGCTCCTTCAATAATAACGTCTAGTGACCTTTTATTTTTTACTTATTTATTTATTTATTTTTTTTTTTTTTTGCTTATCAAGGAATTTTTGAATTTTTGGTAGTGCCCCCCCCCCCCACTGAAAATGTTTGGTTCCCCCCCCCCCCCCCAAAAAAATGAATTGCTTCCTACGGGCCTGATAATGATGAACTTGTTAATAATAAAAATACATCATAGAGTGATAGACAGCAGGTTTTGTTTGGAGTAAAGATACATTTCTTTATTACGATATGCTATATAATTTTGTGTCTATGTTTATAGTGAAAACGATACTTTAATGCGTATGCATTTTTACTTCATATCCAAGTTATTGTGATTCTAAACATTGCAAAATTTAAAACCTCGGGTCTCTGAGGCAATATGAAATTAGGTTAAGCAAAACACAGTTCAGCGACATGAAGGATTATTTAAAGCAAGGTTTCTTGCCGCAGAAAAGAAGTTTAGCTAATACTTTACGGTGGACACACAAATGTCTTTCGAGATATTCCTGAGATTTTTTATAGCCAGTCTGCACTAGTAAAGCAGCAAATACAAAGTACATACATTTATTGAGAAATTACATATGTAAATTATCTTTGATATACAGACACATTTTTTTCAGCTTATGATAGTTATCCAGAAATTTTGTGGTCATTTACCTATGACTGTTCTGAATTAGGAAACAAATAAATTAATTGATAACTTTTACTTATAGTATATATATATAAAGGACAATAATACACAACTTACGGGAGTTCAGAGTAATGCTAACGGGATGTCTTGTCATGATTGATTAATTGAATAAAAAATATATCAAAATTACAATATAGCACATTTAAAGGTTGGGGTATTTCAAATCCTACTAATTGAACCAAATTAAATACATATGTAGAAATACATATACTTTCGGAAAAATAACTGATCCTTCTCTGTTACTGACGGTGTCCAGAGGATAATGTTTCATGATGATGTTTTTGCTGACACGTGTTGCCATTAAAATTATCCATAACTTTGCAATTTTAGATAGCAAGTTGTTGATCGACAAACAAAAAGCATTTTCACTTAATCTACAATACTATAAATCCTTGTGATAGTGAATTTTGAATATCTTTAAATCTATACATATTTCTTATCATTAGAATTGATTCAAAAATGTTATAAAAATTTAATGTGCCCATGCTCCCTTTACTGGTTCATTCGGAGACAAGTGTTTCATTCTAATTATCGTAAATTTAATTTAGACAAAAACAAGCTATTGGTGAACCAGTTTATGCAAACTTATCATAAAGAATTCGTGTGTTAGGATAATTTCTTTGGCTTTCAAGAGAAGAAAACTACGGAAGACCGTTGAGGCCAATTCAGAGAAAGAAACATTTTTTATAGCGTTTAAACGCAATAAGTATTGCGTTTAAACGCAAAACATTGCATTTAATCGCAATAATCATTGCGTTTAAACTCAAAAGATTGCGATTAATTGCAATGTATATTGCGTTTAAACGCAAAACACTTTGCGTTTAATCGCAAAAGATTGCGATTAAACGCAATACTTTTTGCGTTTAAACGCAATATTTTTTGCATTTAAACGCAATAATTTTTGCGCGTTTAAACGCAATCTTTTGCGTTTAAACGCAAAGTGTTTTGCGCTTAAACGCAAAGTGTTTTGCGTTTAAACGCAATATACATTGCAATTAATCGCAATCTTTTGCATTTAAACGCAATGATTATGGCGATTAAACGCAATGTTTTGCGTTTAAACGCAATAAAAAATATTTCTTTCTCTGAACTGGCCTCAACGGGCTTCCGTAGAAAACTTATAAATCGTGAAAATTAATTTGGTTGTTTCATTTTTTTTCAAAAATAATAAAAAAAAAAAAAACCAGCATAGGAAATCATTCAGTCAAATTTAATTTCAAAGCATCCACGTGTAAATTTGAGTTGTCCAGTCATTATACAAGAATAAATAGAGAATACTCTTTTAAATCCTTCTCAAAAACAGCAGAATTACATAAACCTGGTCTAGTAGTTCTGAAGACGAGACATCGTGTAAGTAGTTTACAGATGACGGACAGACAGACGTCGGAAGCTTCCATCAGAAAAGAAGTTATGAGATTTTTGGCTCAGATAAACACTTAGTACGCATAATCATGAGAAAGAAAGGAATTAAGTTCCATTCAAACCTGATATCAGATTTTATTTCAATACTGCCTAAGTATCTTTGACTAAAATTCCCTTCAACATATAACCGACTTTTCCTCAAACTTGCATTATTATCATATTTTACTCACTTGCAGCCTGATTTGATGTCTGTAAAATTCAAAATCAAATTAAACTCCTTTTTCTGCTGCTCTATCAGACGACTTCAAGTCCAGTTGTATAGTCACTTTAATTTGACATTTTTGGCAAAGGGCCAAACATTAAATTTAAACTAGAAAATGGAGCATCATGTATGATTAACAAAACTAGAAATTTGTAATGTATCTGTATCCAATGTATTTACAGAAATGTCATTTTGATGTGGGACTTCTTTTCGGTTAAGAAGGTCCGATAACGACAACCACTATTCAGATAGTTACGGTGTGGAACTTTTCCTTTAAACGTGTACATTTCCTTCCACTTTAATAAAAAGGTATATTAAATCCACTAGGTATAAATATTGCTTTTCATCTGCTGAATTATTATAAAAATACCATTCAAAATTATACACGCGTTGACTGCGGCGAGACAAAAGCAAAAATAAGATATTCATTAAACATATATTCGAGATTAGACTAAAGAAAGCTTCAGAACTTTGAAACACCCTCACATTTTTATTTTTTATCATCTTTGGCTTCATCAAAAATTCTAGAAAGTTCGTTTTTTTAAAAAGGCAAGGACAATTTCTTATTCAGATTTAAATACTGTTTTAAACACATCTCGTCAGTAAAAAAACTTTTAGCTCCACCCTAAACCCGGGGTTCATAATTTGAAAACCCACACAACTGGTAATGCTTACATATTAATTTGAGTAAATGTGACCCTTCTCCTTTTGAAAGATTTTTTAAAATTTCCTGTATACTAGTAGTATTCAAATGTAAATCTTTGATCCCCTATTGTGGCCAATTCCTTCCCCCAGCCCCGGGACCATGATTTAAAAATCTTGAATCTGTACGACCTGGGGCTGTTGGCATGTAAATAAATCTAATAAAGGTTCTGCTGCTCTTAAAAAAAAATAAGATTTTACCTTTAAAATTCAAAATGTAAATACTTGTATTTGATTTTTTTATTGTTACCATACGCTAAACCCTGGATCCTATGATTTGAACAAATGTAGTTTGCACGACTTAAGGATTTTGTATATTGATATGATTGATTTATGATCTTGCTGTGCTTGCAAAGAAGATTTTTTAGAATCCCCCATATGATGTATTCCCAATGGCATGTAGAATCTATTCCTTATTAGTCTATCCCTTATCCCCGTATTCAACACATACATGTGTTGAATAAAAAAGGATATTCAATGTTTTGTGGTTGGATGTGGAAGTCATAATGGAGCATGGCATACCCAACAATTTAGACAGTGATTCCTTATATTTACATTTATATGTGAAATAAAATTGTAAACATAAATTTTAAAAAATGCTGTCTAATAGATTTTAAATACACGAGGCCTCACATGTTAATTTCAGTAGTCCCCGCCCACTGACGCCAGACACAAAGACAGCCGCACGAGATTGACATGCATATAAGGCCCCTGACCTTTCACCTGGAGAAATTAACATTCCGGTTGAATTATCTAGAAATCAACTCACCTAACTTTCAAAGCGTTATCACAGAGAAAACAACTAGAAATGAAAATATTTAAGTATATGTCGATATAGACATTAACAATTATTGAATTATTACATTTGAAAAGATGACTCTCGAGCAAAGGAAGTAACCATTCCTGTAATTTGTACGTACGAAAATTATATGAAGTATAAAGTCAACAAGAAAGACCAACAGCCAAGAGAAAAAACAAATCAGGTAAGCACCTAAATAAATAAATAGAATAGATAAAACTAGTGGTCATAGGATAACCAAAATAACGAGAGAGGTTTTTTTAATCGAAATTTATCATTTTTCGTTGTTTTTAGGCTCATATTCATTTGTTACATGGGAAAATCAAAGTAATTTTGTATTTGATGTCAGTCTGTCCCACTTGGTTTCAAGGATATCAACATACCCATTTGAAGTCAACATTTTGCAAATTCTCTTGTCAATACAATGACTTGTAAGCAAATACATTCTATCCTTAATTATGCCAAATGTTGACTGACGATTATCATAAAATTGTCAGACCAATATTTTCACACTGAATTTTCTACCGAGTTTTCCGGCAAGGAGCACACTCGATTGTGACTGGGCAGTGGACAGGGAATGCTTATTCTTCCATGGCATCTCTGATGATTTTAGAGTTCCGTGTTTGCTCTGCTCCCAATTGTATTTCCCAATGGACTTTGGGGCTTAACTACTGTTCGGTATCTTCATATGACATTATGATAGTTAAAACTATAAAGAATAAATTCAAGATCGTTCAAATCCTGACACCTGAGGTAGGGTGGGGCACAACAAAAAGTTTTACATAGGAATATAAAGTAAATATATATTTTAAAATCTTCTCAAGAATAGCAAAGCCATATGTAATAATATTTATATAAAAGCATCCTCAGGAAGTATAGATTCAAATTCTTCAAATTATGATCACCAATAGTAGGGCAGGGCCACAGCAGGTGATCAAAGTTTTACATATGAAGATACATGTATTGGAAATATCTTTAAAAATTTTCTACTCAAGAACAGCTAAGCCATGATTAGTCAAATTAATAAAGAAGCATCCTCAGGTAGTGTAGATTGAAGATTGTACAAATCATGACCACTGGGGGTAAGAAAGGGCTACAAAAGGGGATCAAAGTTATACATAAGAATATATATAATACATGTGTAAAATCTTTTTCTTTTTTTTTTTAAAACTTCTTTTCAAGATCAGCAAATTCTAGATTAGCGACATTAATACAGAAGCATTCTCAGTTGTTGTAGATTAAAAATCAATACTGGTACCAGATTTACATTCAAGACTGTTCAAATCATGAATCTGTTGATGAAGAACAGAAGGACCATAGCTACTTAGCTGAGCGTTATGGCCCATGGGACTCTTGCGTTTTTTTTTTAAATTCTTTTACGTATACAAGTCTTATCATGAACAATTAAAAACATCATATCAATATTGATATGTGCTATATTAAACAGAATTTTGATAGAATTTAGAAAAATAATGAAATGAAACAAGCATTCTGAGAGTATTGCATTAGCAATACTAGTCCCCTACCGGCAAGTGTAATAATCTGGTTCCCGTTAAGAATTGAAAATGCCATAATTCCGTCAAAAATTAATAAAGCGGGACGAAATGCAAACTTGATCTATAACTAATCAAAGTAAAGCTACATACCAAAAATCACCTCAATATCTACAAGCGTTTAGAAGAAAATTGCGGAAAACCCTTAAAAATTGAAAAGGCTGTAATTCCGTCAAAAATCAATGAAGCGGAACGAAATGCAAACTTGATCTGTAACTCATCAAGATACACTCACATACCAAAAATCAGCTCAATATCTGCAAGCGTTTAGGAAAAAAGTGCGGAAAACCAAGTGGGACAGACTGACAGACAGACAGAGGGACAGACAGACAGACAGACAGACGGACAGACAGACAGACGGACGGACAGACGGACGGACAGACTCAGAGGAAACCTATAGTCCCCTCCGGTTTCACCGGTAGGGGACTAATAAAGCAAAGACTTACAGTTGTAGTTAAAGAAAACCAAATTTTAAAGGTTGTCCACTGACTAGTAAATGATTCATTTAGTGAGAGAAATATGCAAAAATTGAAATAAGAGAATCATGCAGAAATTATTTTTTGAATGAGATAATAACATGCAAATTGTCTACAGAGTAGCCATAAATCTTAAACCAATGTCCAAACTTTCCACCTCTAATTCTCCTTCAAAGATGCAAAAGTCTTATATGTTGCCTGGACCATCACAGTTACTCATCAAATAGAGCATGGAATCTAACTTCGTTCTTCTCTCATAGCTCCCCTTTTTTGTGACCTGCAGAGCAGAATGGCACTTAAGGATCACTTTACCAGGTGTCTGTCTGACCGTCCGTCTGTCACACCCTATATCTTGAAAACTGTAAGAGGCATTGATTAATATGATATGGTGGTCATGTATTGCTTGGCTTTAGGTTTTTTTTAAAATTACCATGGTTATCGACCTCGTGACTTTTCAACTTGACTTTTGACCTACTTTTCAAAATAGTTCATAATGCCCATAAACTGCATATATTTGGACATTGAGAGGTAAGTCTGTGCTGTATAGCATATGCACTGTTTGTCATATTATGAAAATTACAATGCAGCGTTACAGTCCACTTTTCCTTGACCTTTTACCTACTTTTCAAAAATACTCTGAACAGTAATTTTACCTAAGGTTTTCTGAACTATGAGACGCAGGGTTTCAATAACTAGCATATACTAGTATATAGATTACATGTTTATGAGCTGTACTTTTAAATTATGTGATATACAATTACAACACAAACTGATATTTTTTAAAATGCTACATTAGGATCGGTATCGTTATATGATAAATAATATTCTTCGCAGTCAATTTTTTCTTTACAGGCAAATGCATGAACAATGTTACTGTAATGCAAATTTTTTGATTTATTTTAATCTTCAATAAAGCAGGCCACACATGCGTTATTTCGGCTTGGAACATTCTACTTTTCTTTTTGATGTGCTTTATCCCCTTTTTAACTTTCATTTCCATTGACTAAAAGATGTTTTTCCCGTTATATCTTTTTTAAGACACACGAGTATGAAATTATATTTGAGAAACTCTCAGATCGGCCATTAAATTTTTATACCTAACATGAACTTTGCTAAATTTCATGTCTTCCTATCGTTTAATGTATACAAAATTTTATGACATTAACTTTCATTGAAGTTTCTGTTTGGTTTTGAATGCTACACATACTAGTTATAAAGAAGTGGAATTCGGAAGCAGAACATACATTTTTCTGTCAAGTTTGTACTATGAAATGTTGAACTTTGAAGACAAGAAACTGGGTTAACCGAACTACAATAAAGGTGAATGCGTTTTATCGATATTCGATGCCAAATAATGGATATCGCTGAAAGTTATTTGTGTCTTCTTTCGTGGCATCCTTAATGTAAGAGTTTTCCAGACATAACACTGTAGTAGGCAACATTCTTTTATGAGAGTTTAAAGACGCAAGATAATGGAGTCACATAGTTTTGTTTTTTATATGGAATAGTT